GGCCTGCTTTAGCCTGGCCATACATTATACAATTTTCTTGAGAATTTTGCTTTAGATTTACCAAAAACTATATAGTATGAGGTCAAACCTAAACAACATTTTAAATTGTATCCAATCAGGCAGACCCTTGTACTACATAGTTACCGATTTTCGACTCAATGATGGTCAAATCGTACGATTGTTTTCCCGAAAATAATATGCGCATGAGCAGTGACCTGGAAGAAACAGAAGTTTTGCATGTTATATGGGGTGAACTTTATGACTTGGTCGGTTGATTTTCAAAATCAATGATGGCACCATCGGATTACCGAGCGAACGACGTATCGGACGAAAAATCGTTTGGAATTCGAACCATGTATGGCCTGCATAACAGCCAATCAATTTACAGGAACTGGCGACATCACTAAGACACCAGGGAGGCAGCAATGTCATTGTTTCTAGCAAAAGAATGACAATTTTGGTTTGGATAATAAAAAAAAAAAAAAGCTTTCCTGCAGAGTGAAGAAGCCAGGTACATATTTTGTGTATAAATTATTATAGTTTCCCTTTTCCACCCAAAAATGATATTTTATTTATGGGCGGACACTGGAGAGCTAAAACAACAGAAGCATTTTTTTAGGCTCCATGAACACTAGCTGTTTTTTTTTTTTTTGGGATAAAAACACTGGTAATAGCGTTTTTAGGAGCATTCGCATTTTATTAGCATTTTTACAGTACATGTAGAAAGAAGCTAGAATAAAAACCTGTTAGTGGCGCTTTTAGTAGCGTTTAGAAGTGTTTAGCATTTTTTTTTCTGTTTGAAAAACACTCCAAAAAACATTAGGCTCCATGCACACTAGCATTTTTTTGAAGCTGCTCGAAGCTAAATAGTGTTCCCCTGTGAGTCCCTTGTGTCCATGCACACTACTTTAGGCCAGTAGCAATTTTTGAGCTTCAGTGTCTACAGTTTTTTTTTTTAAAGTGTTTTTCCAGCAGTAAAAAAGCGAAATGCTCCTAAACGCTATTAGGCACACGGGGCGTTTTGATAACGCTGGTATTGATAGCTGTGTAAAGTCACGTTGAAAACGTGAGTTTTTTCAGCTTTTTTTAAGCATTTTTGCATTAACGGTTTTCCGTGTTTTAGTGTTTTTTTTTTTTTTGCGTTTTATAGCGTTTTCATTGTAAGTCACACGATTTCAAAGTCGGGCTTGATGTGACCAGGGTGTTACTTTCCTTTCAGATTCCACATTTTCTATGGGACACTATACTGCAAAATACTCCCACAAATGCCGGCCATTGATGGCAAACAAGATTTGTTCATTTGCACACACTAAGGGCTCATGTACACTGAAGCTGCTAAACTGACATTCAGGAACTGTTCTGCATTTTTTTCAGCAGCCCCTGAACTCTCCCTAATGTCTTCCTATGTGTCTATGTACAAATCCTTGTTTACAGGCATTTGAGTTTACAGTCGTTTTTTTTAATGCAAAAAACTTGCGTTTAGCAGTTGATTTTATCAGCGTTTCAAACGCTAAACGCGGCAAATCATGTTTATAAGCATTTGCATTTGAAATTTTTTTTTAACTCTTCCAGTTCCCGATGCTTTACAGAGCCTTTTTTCTTCCTGAAAAATGCATGCAAAGCATTTTCAAGCTACTCAAATGGACAAAACACTGAACACAGGATGTTCCTACCAAGCTTGTCACACATTGTAATGACCAATTCACACCTCAGACCTTGGAAACAAAAGATATGTTAATGACCATTCACAGCTCAAATTCCTCATGAAGACCCCCGGCCTTAATGACTCCCTCCACCAGACACCTTTCCCAGCCTTGAAAACAAAAGAAATGTTAATGAGCAACTCACACCTAAGCTAATCTGAAGACATACTGCTGTCTCTGCTTCTACTCTCTATATTTCTCTGAAACAGTCTGAAATAGTTACTAATTTACCACTTTTCAGTGCATTCTGGGCATTTGGGAGGTTCTCCTGTGCTTCTCTTTAGCTTCTAAACGCAAACGCGCATAAATGCGTTATGCAAACGCGGCTCAACAGACGTTTTTTAAACCTACGTTTTCCAGCAGTCACTTTGCATCGTTCAGAAGTGTCCCGTGTACATGGGACCTAAAAAGTATTTTTCCTAACAAGTTCATTCAAGACCATGTTGCAAAAATGAATACAGGCCAATGAAAGTCTTATGCAGACCATTGGTTGGATTCCAAACAAATTTTCTTTAGAGAATCTGAACTTTCGTGTGTTTTGTAACCCGATGGCGCCACCATTGATTTTGAAATTCAACCAACCAAGCCTTCAATTTCACCCCATGTTGCTACAGAAAAGAATTTTCGTGGCCGGGAATTTTCTTTTCTTTCCAGGTCACATCTCACGCTCGTTTCTTTTTTTGTTTATATTTCTCGCACAATTCTCCCATCATTGATTCAAAATTTGTTAGTTTTTCAAAAATTTCCAATGTCCCCGATCACTCAAATTCAATGGCCACCATGGTCTGTTTCTGTTACCCACTAATGGTGCGAAATTCGAACGAAAATTCCAAAAACAATTCTTTTGGAATTCAACCCATGTATGGCCGGGTTTAGGAGCAAAGCTAAATTTTAGACAACAAAATCCCAAGTAACAAGAATTCAACTGCAGGTGAGTCTAATTATCACTTGCCGTCCAGAGGATTTACCCCCCCCCCCCTTCCTGACCAGGCCATATTTTGCGATACGGCGCTGCGTTACTTTGACAATTGCGCGGTCATGCAACGCTGCACTCAAATGAAAAATCCTTTTTTCCCCACAAATAGAACTTTCTTTCGGTGGTATTTGATCACCTGTGTGTTTTTTAATTTTTTTTTGCGCTATGAAAGACCGACATATTTTGGGAAAAAAAAAAACAATATTTTTTTTTTACTATTAAACATATCCAGTAAAAAAACTTTAAAAATCACATTTCGTCATAAATTTATGCCAAAATGTATTCTGCTCCATGCTTTGCTAAAAAGAAAAATCCCAGTACGTGTAAATTAATTGGTTTACATGAAAGCTATAGCATTTACAAATGGCGGTATATTTACTGGAATTTAACTTTTTTTTTTAATAGCGGCGATCAGTGGCTTATAGCTGGACTGCAGTGGGCATTCTGACACTGGGGGGAACTGACTAACTGTCACTGACATCCCCAGTGACACCAATACAGTGATCAGTGCTAATAAAAAGCACTGACTCTACTAATGGCACTCGGAAGGAAGGGGTTAACATCTGGGGCGATCAAAGGGTTAACTGTGTGCTGTTTCACAGTATGCTGTGTGTGTGTTTTCCACTGTAAGCACACTGCTTTGTATGGCTCTACAAAGCAGTGTGCAGGAGCTGACAGGGAGAGATCTGTGTTGTTTATACACATTCAGTAGTTCTTGAAGATCGCCGGGTGTAGGCAGGGAATCACCAGCCGGGACCCGGTGATTGATGCCACGAATGGCGGCGCGCACGCTCCCTACCCGGAACTGCAAAATCACAATTTTGCACACCCGTGCCACCCTGGTATTTGTGCTATAGGGCGGTGCGGAAGCGGTTAACAAGTATTCAAATCCAGGTTAGTCTAATTATTCAATAAACAGGTGTCCAACAGACAGTTAGTTATAAAAGGGCGTTACTTAACAAAGAAGGCCCCTCCCATTTCATGCTGTCAGCAATGGCACCACACAAAAGAGAAATGTCACAAGACCCGAGAGAGAAAATAATTTCAGTACACAAGAAAGGTGAAGGCTACAAGAAGATCAGCAAAGCTTTACTTATAAGTCAGAATACTGTAGCAAAATTGATGCAAAAATATAACAAAGATGAAACTGCAACCATCTCACAGAGACATCCAGGCTGTCCACGGAAGTTAACACGTCGACAGGAGTGTCTTCTGCTGAGAAGGGTTGAAGAAAACTGCCATGCAAGTTCACTGCAGTTAGTTTAAAAAGTAGAAAGCCAAACTGGGGTGATTGTTTCCCATGACACCATACAGCGTACACTGCAGAGGAATGACATGCATGGGTGTCGTCCATGAAGGAAGCCGCTCCTAAAGCCCATGCACAAGAAAGCTCTCCTAGAATTTGCCAGCACCCATGCTGAAAAAGAAGATGCCCACTGGGACTCTATACTCTGCAGTAATGAGACCAAGATAAATGTTTCTGGAACTCATGTCTTCAAAACTGTATGGCATTGCAAAGGTGAGGAGTACAAAGACAAATGCATGGTGCCTACAGCAAAACAAGGTGGTGGCAGTGTCCTTCTGTGGGGCTGCATGAGTGCTGCTGGTGTCGGGGAGCTGCATTTTATTGATGGTATCATGAATTCACAGATGTACTGCTCTATACTGCAAGAAAAGATGCTACCATCACTCCGCACCCTTGGTCGTCGTGTACTTTTCCAGCATGACAATGATCCAAAACACACATCTAGGGCCACTGTTGCCTTTCTGAAGAAGAACAGGGTGAATGTGATTTGTGACCAAGTATGTCTCCTGAACTTAACCCAATCAAACACCTATGGGGAATTCTGAAGAGACAAGCTGAGCATCACTCAACTGTCCACCCAACATCCCGGCTCTAAAAGACGTTCCTGAAGAATGGAAAAATATAGATGTTGCAATATGTCACCAACTTTTGAATTCCATGCCTAGAAGACTTGGTGCTGTCCTTACAAATCATGGAGGTCATACAAAATACTAGGAGTGGTTTTTGTGGGGTGTATTCATTTTTGCATCACATAATTTGGGTAAAACTGAAGATTTTGTTGTGAAGACGTTATATTATTAACCTTACTTTCATGTAATGAGCTAAACAATTGTTTTATAAAACTCAGTTTTGTCAAAATTTTGGAAATTGTTCTTGTGTTCATTGTGATATTGACTAAAATCTTACTTTTCAAAAGGGGTGTACTCATTTATGCTGAGCACTGTATCTGCCGGTTGTCATATTCTTTGGGCATAGTGGGAACTATGGCTCTGGAGTTTACGGTCATGAAATAGTAATGGTAGTTTTGTCCTTTTCTATCTGGACAGAAAAGCTCCTGGTTCTGACTGTAGCCACCGAGGAGACAGATGGATTTCGGCGTTTTCAGAGATCAGCCCAATGCTTCAACTACAAAGTGAAGGTGAGTTAGAACCAGGTCTGTGGCCCCCCGAGGGCATCTTCTTCTTCACAAAGGAATTCCAGGAAATAGCAGACCAAGGCAAATATTTCATAGCTCAGACTGTCCTTTGGCTGTGATTTAAAGAGCCTACAAATGTTAGAGAATGTTTCCCCAGATGGATCTAAATTTAGGCCAAGATGTATTCTGCTACATTTCTTTTTTGAAAATAACCCAAATCAGTGTTTATTATTTAGTCTGTAGACGTTGTAGAGTTCACAATCTATGGTATATACAGTGGGGATCGAAAGTTTGGGCACCCCAGCTAAAAATGTGTATTAATGTGCATAAAGAAGCCAAGGAAAGATGGAAAAATCTCCAAAAGGCATCAAATTACAGATTAGACATTCTTATAATATGTCAACAAAAGTTAGATTTTATTTCCATCATTTACACTTTCAAAATAACAGAAAACAAAAAAATGTCTGCAAAAGTTTGGGCACCCTGCAGAATTTATAGCATGCACTGCCCCCTTTGCCAAGCTGAGACCTGCCAGTGTCATGGATTGTTCTCAATCATCATCTGGGCAGACCAGGTGATGTCAATCTCAAAGGTTTTAAATGCCCAGACTCATCTGACCTTGCCCCAACAATCAGCACATGGGTTCTTCTAAGCAGTTGTCTAGAAAACTGAAACTGAAAATAGTTGACGCTCACAAAGCTGGAGAAGGCTATAAGAAGATAGCAAAGCGTTTTCAGATGTCAATATCCTCTGTTCGGAAACTTTCGATCCCCACTGTATCTGAAAATCTATGAGCCCTGAAGTACTGAAGGCCAGTCTAATTTCTTGAGGCCCAAATATGTCAGGACAGTACAGATATCCCCCAAATTACCCCTTTTTTGCAACGTAGATAGTCTGAGGTATTTAGTAAGAGGCATGGCAAGTTTTTTAAAGTATTTTATTGGAAATGAAGACATTTAAAAAAAAAAAATTTCACATTTTTTTTTTTTTAACATACTGTCACCAGTACAATACAGCATCATTATATAACTGGTGTGCTGGTGGTGATTGGGGACACTGACTGGTGACCATACGAAAAAATAAAACTACCGGTATTTTTTTTCCAATTTGTATATTTTTCATTGCTTTTTTTTTTTTATTATGATTTTTTTTTCATAACACAGTAGTATAATGTTACCATTGTAACATTGTACCACTCTGGGGAAGTGATCTGTATTTTTTTTAAACGTTATGATTGCTTATAGCAAAGAATTTTGTTGCTATAAGAAAACATTTAATTGAATGAAATCAATTTTTTTGTTGTGATTAGCTCTGATTGGCCACAGCTAATCACGTGACACAGATGGGCTGTGATTGGCCCAGTCTGTGCCATGTGATTACTATGATCAAGTACAGCTAGCGACACAATTGCATACAATGGATGGCATTAAAGGAAGCCATCCATTGTTTACAGCTGGTACTGGCAACAGGCCGGTACACAGATCTGTGACAGATCTCGCCACAGCGCAGCCCCGCGGTGCGATCCGGGAGGACATCATATGACGCCCATTCGGATTGATTAGAGTCCCGCTTGGCCGTCATTTTGCTATTAGCTGGCTAACCCCTGAACTTGTTAACCCCTTCCCACCATGTGACCACTGTGATTGGTAGTCACAAAGGTCACATGAGCGGAAAGCTACCTATCACAAGTATGAATTGTTCTACTCTGGGGAAGTGATCAGTTTTTTTTTTTTTAACTTTATGATTGCTTATAGCAAAGAATTTTGTTGCTATAAGAAAGCATTTAATTGAAGGAAATCGATTTTTTTTTTGTTGTGATTAGCTCTTATTGGCCACAGCTAATCACATGACACAGATGGGCTGTGATTGGCCCAGTCTGTACCATGTGATTACTGTGACTAATCACGGATAGCGACACAATTGCATACAATAGATGGCATTAAAGGAAGCCATCCATTATTTATAACTGATACTGGCAACGGGCCGGTACACAGATCTGTGACATATCTCGCCACAGCACGGTCCCGTGAGAACACGCAAGGTGCCAACCCGGGAGGGCATGATATGATGCCCACTCGGATCGACAAGAGTCCCGCTCAGCCGTCATTTTGCTATTGGCTGGCTAACCCCTGAGCTAGTTTATCCCTTCCCAAAATGTGACTACTGCGATTGGTAGTCACAAAGGTCACATGATCGGGAAGTTACCTATCACAAGTATGCATGGGGAGCTTTCCGGTACCTGCCCATTACTGTGCTGGGTTCTTGCTCTCAGCACAGTAAAGTGTGTACCTAGTATGTATGCGCTAGGTCGGCGGGAAGTGGTTAAAAAGGTTAAAGTTCACCCTCCCTATCCTAAAAGAAATTTCAGATCCCTAATGCTTGTCCCTATAGGAAAAAAAACATACTTATCAGTCAATAAAGTCCAGCGTTGTCTTTCATGCAGTCTAAGTTCCCCCTTCTCCAGTCTGCTCCCACGCCACCTTCTTGAAATGAGCATGGGCACATGTACAGGTAGGCCATGGGTTTCTGCCAGGTCCCATAGGCTTGGCAGAGACCCACCACGTGTCTTTGCATGCATCAGGTCCCCCTGCACATGTGCAGACTGCCATGGATCTCTGCCCGGTCCCACAGAACCCGCGTCATATCTGCTCATGAGAGCAAGACTGTGCAAACTGCCTGCTGGAATGTGTGACGTAGGTGAGAATTCAGGAAGTGAAGGTATAAAAATAAAATAAAAGTAATCTATTTACAGTTTAAAATTTTTGTCCTGCAATTCTGCAAGCAGGGAGGCAGGTGGCAGGACGTAAATAAATGGGTGAAGGTTTCCTTTAAAAGCCCATCCCCAACGCTGCTTATTTTTACCTTCCTTTTACTCCACCACCATTGGCTGTGAGAGGGAAGAAAAGAAGCTAAGTCTGGCTGGAGTTTACATGAGGCTAAAGATCCCCCCTAACCTCCAATGCCCTTGGGTCTAATAAATGGCTCATTAGCACCGAGTTGTAGAAGGAAAGAAGATACATGATCTACTGTACCCAGAAGTACCAACTTTTTGTCTTTGCTTCAGTTGTGGCAGCAGATAGGCGATGAGTATATGCGAGGTGGCACCAGGCATTAAAATATAACTGCACACAAGAATACTTGTCTTCATGGTGAGTATTTGGCAAAGAGTGCAGCCTGTTAAAAGCAATTTAATATCTCTGTATGATGTTCCTGCAGGTCCTGGGGCTCGGGGAAGAATGGCATGGAGAGGGGCAGAAGGTCCGACTCCTAAAGGCTGCACTGGAACAATATGCCGACGATGAAGATCAGATTATCCTCTTCACTGAAAGGTATCTGTGGGCAAAATAAAAAAAAAAAAAAAAAATCCTGACAGGTATTTTTTTTTTATATATATATTTTTTTTTTTGGTTTACTCTATGCAAAACTCTCTCAAAAGAAAAAAAAAAAGTTCAATTTTAGATACAGATGGTGCCTGGGTGGCTGTGACAGCCCATGGCTTCTCTATGTCAGGGGTCTTTAACACTGAGATCTCCCTGACATTCATGACCATGTTCCTATCCATCTAGAGGTTGTTCTGGTCATGGCTGCTGTTAGAAACAACAGGGCCCATACAGCCAACCTGATAGCCCCCCCCATCCCCCAGAAAACACAGGTTACTATGCTTCAGTTACGAATGAACACAGTGAGTGATCGGTACATTCATTTAGGAAAGGAAGGGGCTGATAAATGTGACATTTTTACCTGGATCCTTCCCCCACTCTCCATCCCGAAGGATCCAATTGTGTGCTTTCAGCTGCCGGAGGAAAGGAGAGGAGGAAGCCGGCAGCACTGTGGGTGTGGGGGCACACTGGGTGACGGGGGGAAGTAGGGGAATTGGTATGGTGCATAGGGAGGGTGATGGATGTGGCAAGGAGGCAATTACTGGAACCAATTCTCTCTATGGCTCTCTCTGCAGCAGCTGAAAGCCAACAGCAGGGAGAGGAGAAGCCAGCTTTCAGCTGCTGCAGAGAGAGCCATAGAGGGGATTGGTTCCAGTAATTGCCTTGCCATGCTGATCACCCTCCCTGCCCACATCTGCTTCACCCAGATGCCTGGGCCTCCTTACTGGCTTGGGCCCCATACAGGAGGATTGGTGGTACCCCTTTATCCACTGCCCTGGTTCTACTCACCTTTGTGTGTTCCAGCACCCACTGTTAAGATTCTCTGTAATCTAACATATAAATCAGGCAGGGATGGTGAGAGACCCTCATAAAGGACACAGCAGGAGTGTAAAACCAGGAAGTTGGCACATTGATGGTGGGAGCCCCTCATAATGGGTACAGCAGGTGTAGAGACCTGGGAACTCCATGCAGGGATGGTGGGAACCCCTTATAATGGGCATATCAGGTGTAGAGACCTGGGGACTTGATGCAGGGGTGGTGGGAACCCCTCATAGTGAACACAGCAGGTGTACAAACCTAGGAACACAATTCAGGAACCGTGGCAGCCACGGTCCCAATAGTGGGTACAGCAGGTGTACAAGACCTGGGAACTCAATGTAGGTATGTTGGGAACCCCTCATATTGGGCACAGAAGGTGTGCAGGCCTGGGAACGCAGCACAGAGATGGTGAGAATCCCTCATAATGGGCACATTGAGAGATAGAAGAAACTCTCAGGGGGTGTATTACTCCAGCATCCCCCAACACTGAAAACTCACTTCCAGGTAGACTGATGAATTATAGTGATACTAAAGCTGAAAATGTTCCTTGCATTAAGGTAAACAACGTCTTCTATCACAAGATGCTGCATGTCGTAATGGACTTTTCCTTATTGCTTTGCTCTGCGTATTTCCTTTGCAGCTACGATGACATATTTGCTTCAGGCCCGGCTGAACTTGTGAAGAAATTGAAGCAAGCCAAAAGCAAGGTGGTGTTCTCAGCAGAAGCCGTGGCCTATCCTGAACGACGTCTGGAGCCCAAATATCCGAGTGTCATAGAAGGCAAACGTTTCCTGGGATCGGCAGGTAAGTCTCCGACACATGGAACTCCAGTTCCCAGTGTTTAATGCTGAACTTTGGGGAAAAGAAAACAATATCCTTGGAGTGTGGCTCCCGAACAGTCCAAGAAATAAACGCTCGTATTTGCCTGGGGTACTGGGAAAGGGACTTTTACTTTGTCCCTGACTCCTGGAGGCTCCTTCTTCCATGTGACTGGTGCCCCAAATCCTCTTCTCTAACACACTCCAGTTGGTGGTCGTACTCTGATGTCATTACGTACAATGCAGGACCTGCAGTCCTGCATTGTAAGAGGATGAAAAGGGCCCACCCACAACATAGAGCATGGAAGGGAAGAGGAGAGCACCGGCTGCTGGGGGAGGGAGGGAAAAGGTAAGTAACACTGCTTTTTATTGATGCTCTAGGCCAGGGAGTCTTCAAACTTTTCAGTACAAGTTCCACCATATTGCATTTTACTAGTATTTGTGAGCTGAATAAAATCCTCTCTTACCAAGGGTCCCCATCAGTGTCGCCACCCTACAACAGGGTCCCCATCGGAGTCCCCACTTTGCATCAGTGCTGCCACCTTGCATCAGGGTCCCCATCAGAGTCCCCACCTTGCATCAGTGCCCCCACCTTGCATCAGGGTCTCCATCAGAGTCCCCACCTTGCATCAGTGCCCCCACCTTGCATCACAGTCTCCATCAGAGTCCCCACCTTGCATCAGTGCCCCCACCTTGCATCAGGGTCCCCATCAGAGTCCCCACCTTGCACCAGTGCCGCCACCTTGCATCCCGGTCCCCATCGGAGTCCCCACCTTGCATCATTGCCCCCACCTTGCATCAGGGTCCCCATCAGAGTCCATGCATCAGGGTTCCCCCCCATACATAAGGGTCCCCATCAGAGCCCTCTCTCGTAGCGGTACAAATTTGTTCCCTTTATCAGTCCAAAATCCCAGTTGAAGCACAAAGCAACCAAATGTCTTCCGGGTGCCACCTCTGACCCATGAAATGGATAGCACACAAGGAATAAATGCTGCTTGGAAAACCGGAAGAATCTGGTACTATAATCCAGAAGGCAGACAAAAAAAGCAACAAATAGATCAGTAAGAATTAAGATTAATCATCTATGCAGAACTGCTAAATAAGATAAAGAATTTGAATTTGCTGCAAAAACAAGCCAGTCCTCAAAAAAAGTGGGGACCGGGCACCTGTAGTGAACAGACTGATGAATCCTTGTTCTGAATAGCTGGAATCAGTCTCTATACAGATGGTAAGGAAACGAGAATTCCAGTTGGTAGTAATGAAAGACACTTTATGATGCAAACAATATCCACTTATATGTGGGACAGGGTCTGTGCACCAGGAAGCCATCAATGTGGTGGTGGTTGGGGGTAGGATGTGTACCTTCCTCTCCTGTGGCATGGCAATGTGTTTCGAAGCTCTGCCTCTTTGTCAAGCCAAGTCTTGGTGTGGAAAGCCTACGTTCAGGTAGTACTTCTGTATACTATATGCAGGTTGCTCATGTACCAGCATACAGCCATACATGGAGGTTGTATGCAGCACCTGGGCTTCTTGGGTGTTAAAGTGTGCCTATCATATGTTGTATGTGGCCTCATGCACTTGTGAGGCCATGAAAAGAAGTTGGAGTTTGTCAGTTTTGACTCACCCCCTCTTCCCCAACTCTCACTATTGACTCTCCTCTCTGCAGCTTTCATAGGCTATGCTCCGTATCTACACAAACTGGTGGCCGATTGGGATGGGGCCGATGAAGACAGCGACCAACTCTACTACACCAAGATCTACTTAGACCCCGTGAAGAGAGTAAGTGACCTGCAGACTGCAGGCCTGATGTTGGCTCTACACAGGGCAATCATTTGGGGATTTAAATGAGAATAATTAGTGCAACCTACCAACTTTATGGATTAGCAAAATTGAAAGTTTTATTCTCCCTGAAACGTAAAATGTTTCAGGGGGGATCTTTAGAGGACTACATTGAATTCAGTAGGGAAGGCAAAAGTAATGTAGTTTTTCTTTGTCAAAAGTTTTATTGAAACGCAGATCAATACAAAACAACTGATCGCCTGCTCAGGGGTACAGATCAATACGTAAACAGATGAAGTAACAGGCGGTGCTCACAACATTTTCAGAACAATTAGATCAGAATAATGCCAACCTGTGACCGAGGCCACAGTGCGTCTTCCATGACCCAGGGACAAGCCCGGGAGGACAAACCGTAGGCAATAACGACAATTCAATCGCGTTTCATTTAACAATAGAGAGAGGACAGAGGAATAAACCAAAAGAAAAGAAATAGAGGAAAAAGCAGGAACATAGTAGAAAAAGAAAGGGGTAACCTCCTGCAGGTCTGGGTCACATCTGGGATTTAGAGGGTCCCTAGTCCCAACGGGGATAGAGTAGGGAACTCATAAGTCCACCAAGGATGCCAGATTTTCAGGAATTTAGCATGTGAATCACCAACAATACTAGTCATCTTTTTGTGTAACATCAAGGTGGTCAGGGTGAGTTTGACCTTACAGAAAGGGACAGAGGGCGATCTCCATGCTTTGGCAATGACCCTTTTATCGGCAATGAAATCATAGGTGGCCAGCTTCTGTTGAAAGTAATGTAGTTTTTATTTATGGGGCAGCACAGTGGCTGAATGGTTAACACTTCCACCTGGCAGTACTAGGGTTGTTGGTTTGAATCCCAACCACAGCACCACCTGCCTGGAGTTTTCATGTTCTCCCTGTGCCTGCTTGAGCTTCTTCTGGTTTCCTCCCTCACTCCAAAGACATGCTGGTAGGTTAATTGGCTCCTGTCTAAATTGTCCCTAGTATGTGTATGTATGAATGTGAGTTAGGGACCTTAGATTGTACACCCCTTGAGGGTATCGACTCATGTGACTGTACAATATATATGTAAAGCGCTGCATCAATGGACAGCTCTATATAAGTACCTGTAATAAATAAGATAAATAAAAATACATTCAGTAGGGAAGGCAAAAATAATGTAGTTTTTAGGGTTGCAATGGGTTTTAAGTAGCTCTCGAGGGTCACAGAAGCACTTTTCATGTATCCTGGACCTGTTCTTCCACTAAAATTTGCCTCTCATGGCTCCAGAAAAAGTAAAACATTAAAAAACAAAAATAAAACTTAAAGTTATCATACTGAAATAACAAATACACAACAAAAACATGTAAAAATAAAACCACAAATGCAAGGAACACTGAATTTTCTGAGCTATTCCCACTGTGTTCTGTGTGATTGCCGGCGAATGTCGCTATGCTTTTTTCTATCCAAGTGGGATGACAGCAGGAAAATACGGCCACTAGATGGAGCTGATGAACATAAATACAGTCAGGTCCATATTATATATATTTGCACACAGGCACAATTTCCATACTTTTGGCTCTGTATGCCACCAGAATAAATTAAAAGGAAACAATCGAAATGAATTTGAAGTGCAGACTTTCAGCTTTAATTCAAGGGGTTGAACCTAAATATCAAGTACACATTTTATGCACAGTCCCTCCATTTTCAGGGGCTCAACTTTAATTGGACTAATGAATCTAATCATAAATAAAATGCTCATTTGTAATATTTTGTTGAGAATCCTTTACTGGCAATGACTGCCTGAAGTCTGGAACCCATGGACATGACCAAAGACTGGGTTTCCTCCTTTCTGATGCTTTGCCAGGCTCTAACTGCAGCTGTCTTCAGTTGTTCTTTGTTTGTGGGTCTTTCTCTCTTTTTAGTTTTGTCTTCAGCAAGTGAAATGCAGGCTCAATGGGGTTGAGATCAGATGATTGAGTCGGCCATTGCAGAATATTCCACTTCTTTTCCTGCAAAAGCTCCTGGGTTGCTTTTGCAGTGTGTTTTGGATCATTGTCCATCTGTACTGTGAAGTGCCGTCCAATCAACTTTTCTGCATTTGGCTGAATCTGGGCTGACAGTATATCTGTAAACATGGCAGAATTAATCTGGCTGCTTCTATCTTCTGTCACATCATCAATAAACACCAGTGACCCAGTGCCACTGGAAGCCATGCATGCCCATGCCATCACACTGCCTCCACCATGTTTTACAGATGACGTTGTGTACTTTTGATCATGAGCTGTTCCAAGCCTTCTCCACACTTTTTTCTTCGCGTCATTCTGGTACAGATTAATCTTAGTTTCATCCATCCAAACAATGCTTTTCCAGAACTGGTCTGGCATTTTTAGATGTGTTTTGGCAAAGTCTAATCTGGCTTTTCTATTCTTCAGGCCTATGAATGGTTTGCACCTTCTGGTGAACCCTCTGTATTTGCTCTCGTGAAGTCTTCTCTTGATTGCAGACAATGATACGCCCACCTCCTGGAGAGAGTGTCCTTCTCTTGTCTAGGTGTTGTGAATGGGTTTTTCTGTACCATAGAGAGGATCCTGTGGTCATCCACCATTGTTGTCTTCTGTGGGCGTCCATGCCTTTTTATGTTGCTGAGCTCACCAGTGCGTTCTTCTTTCCTCAGAATGTACCAAACTGTTGATTTGGCCACTCCTAATGTTGCTGCTATATCTCTGATGGATTTGTTTCATTTTTGAAGCCTTACAACGGCCTGTTTCACTTTCATGGACAGCTCCTTTGAACACATGATGTAGGTTCACAGCAATAGATTCCAAATGCAATACCACACTGAGGTTGGCCATACACTATACAATTTTCTGTCCAGTTGCCTTTAGATTTACCTTAAACTATGTAGTGCAAGGGCCTGCCTAATTGGATACAATTGAAAGTGTTGTTTAGGTTTAACCGCATATTATATATTTTTTTGGTAAATCTAAAGCAATTTTTAAAGAAAATTGAATAATGTATGGTCAGCCTTAGCATCAATTCCAGACCTTTTACCTACTTAAATGATGAAGAAATAATGGAGTAGCCCACACCTGGCCATAAAACAGCTTTTGATTCAATTTTCCAATTAATTTTGGTCCCTCGAAAAAGGGGGGATGGCTAGTCTTAAGAGCTGTAATTCCTAAGCCCTTCCTCCAATTTGGATGTACATACCCTCAAATTAAACCTGAGAGTGTGCACTTTCAGACCATTTCCATTATAGAACTATAGCTTGAATATGTTTCGGTAAATACCTGAAAAAATCTAAAATTGTGCCTGTGTCCAAATATATACGGACCTAACTGTATATACCTATTTGTTATGATCATTCCATCTAGTGGCCATAATGCAGTATTTTCCTGATTAACGTTTTTCTTAGGAATGAATAACATCCAACCCGGAAAGAAAATATCCCAGTAACATTCAATTTTGCTGACATTCACACAGAACAAGTGTACATGCAATATTACAGGAAAAATAGCTCTGTGAATTATTTTGTTTTCTAAATACACCTCTAAGTGAAATAAACAAAACTCTGCTAAAAAAAAAAAAAAGAGTAGATCATTTGTTTCAAGCAGACTTTGCCTTACAAAAGAAATCTTGTGAGCTGATAACGTCCTTTATTCTCTGCCCTTGCGGACTATTATTTTTCCTAGATATCCTTGAGGAGTACAGAACACCCTCCCTTTGTGTTGGGGCAAGGGGGAGGTGTTTGTAGTCCTAACACACTTCCTATCCTAGGGTGACAGTACTGCTCCTCCATGGATACAGTACTGTGAATGTTGCTATCCTAGAAAAAGTAGTTTGTTACTGACAGGATAAAGGGGAAAAGCTCTGTGAAAAAAAAGAAAACTAATGCAACCACCACATCTGAGGGGTGTTAAGCTGCAATATATTTCAGTTTTGCTCTTGGGTTTAGATACCCTTTAATTACGTGACGGAAAGGGTAAATGTTTACAAATATAATCTTGGGTTAGGGTCAGCTTTGATACAGCAAAACTTGATTCTAATAATACCTATTTATTTTATTAAAAGGAAAAAAAACAAACATTACTTTGGACCACCGGTGCCGAATATTCCAGAGCCTGTATGGATCTGAGGGTGAGTACGTCGCCAAAATTGTATTTTTGTGCTGAAGTAGTCATAAAAAACACTTGAGTATCAGCCTGTATATTTTTTCAGTGCCATGATAGTTTGACTGACAATTACTTGGTCATGCAGTAGCGCACATAAGTACATTTTATACTTTCTTTCATTTTTTTTTTAGACAAATAGAGCTTTGTATGGTGTTATTTAATAATTTTTGTGCTTTTTACATTTTTTTTTTTTTTACTATGTTACCCTTGATCCTCTGCTCCGTCTTGTGGCCATAGTGCGGTCATATCCTGATTCAGGTGTTTCAGGAGAGTTCTGCATTATGGACACTTGATGGAGCTGGCGATTATAGAAAAAAAAACAAGTGTGTGTCTGAATGCTGAGACATTCTCACAGTAAGTTTTTTCATAGATAGACATCCCTAAAGGCATTATACACTTTCAAATAGTTTTTATTATTTATAAATAGGTGTATTTATATTCCCTGTGCTGTTTGTTTGCCCCTTACCTTGTAATGATGGGCTCCCATGTTGTAGTTGCAGTTTGTAGTAACATGGCTGAGTGATTCCCCTACGTCCATGCATTGCTTCAACTAGCTTGTCCCTATGTGCCAAAGGGACAACTTCCTGATTCAAGGCACACAGCATCCAGTGCATGTGTTACCTTAAATGTGGGAGTGCTAATGTAATGAAAAAAAAAACCATCTTGCAACTGCACGGTGAGCTCTCTGTGTCTGTAAATGTTCTGCCTGCTCGTGCCTATGTCAGATCTAATTACTGTGTAGCTCTCACCTGCAGGACACCAGTCTGGAAGACACAGGGATTGTGGGATATATAGTTTCTTCCCAGGAAGTGTCAGTTCTCAGACTGCAGACAGAGATCACGTATTAACCTTTGCAGTGCCAGATTACACGCCTCATGTTTCTACACAAACCGAAACTTCGGACACAAAAATGTGAAGCTTTTCTCTATTATAGACCATGTGTACAGGGCAACAAATGACACCACAAATGTACATGATCAGTGCACATCTTATGCAGGTGGAAAACACAAAGTGTGGGAAGGAAGGTTTTTAATGTCCTTAAAATTTACTGATGGTGAATTCTGCTTTCTTTCCTGTCATTCCTACTCACTATTACAATACACTTGGAGCAGACATGTGGTGGCTGCACATATGTTGTGCTCAGATTTTTCATGCATAGCCCTGTCCACCCAGCCACCGGAATTAGAGGAAATGTCAGACAAGCTGTAGTCTTAGGATAGACAGGGCATTTTATTATAAGGACTTTTCTATGATAACAGTGGAGTTTCCCTTTATTCGGTTCCTATTTCTTTTAGGGGACGTGGTGATGAAGTTTGAGAATGGACGAGTCAGAGCACGGAATCTCGCCTACGACACCCTTCCTGTTCTGGTGCATGGCAATGGGCCTACTAAGGTGGGAATCTATGCCATATGTCAGATATACACTATATTGCCAAAAGTATTGGGCCAGCCCTCCAAATCATTGGATTCAGGTGTTCCAATCACCTCCATGGCCACAGGTGTATACAATTAAGCCCCTAGGCATGCAGACTGCTTCTACAAACATTTGTGAAAGAATGGGTCGCTCTCAGGAGCTCAGTGACTCCAAGCGTGGTACTGTGATAGGTTGCCACCTGTGCAATAAGTCCATCCGTGACATTTCCTTCCTACTAAATATTCCACGATCAACTGTTAGTGGGATTATAAACAAAGTGGAAGCAACTGGGAAGAACAGCAACTCAGCCACCAAGTGGTAGGCCACATAAAATGACAGAGCGGGGTCAGCACATGCTGAAGCGCACAGTACGCAGAAGTCTCCAACTGTCTGCAGAGTCAATAGCTAAAGACCTCCAAACTTGGTGTTACCTTCAGATTAGCACAACAGTGCGTAGAGAGTTTCATGGAATGGGTTTCCATGGCCGAGCAGCTGCATCCAAGCCTTGCATTACCAAGTGCAATGCAAAGCGTCGGATGCAGTGGTGTAAAGCACGCCGCCACTGGACTCTAGAGGAGTGGAGATGTGTTTTCTGGAGCGATGAATCACGCTTCTCTGTCCGGCAATCCGATGGACGTGTCTGGGTTTGGTGGTTGCCAGGAGAACGGTACTTGTCTGACTGCATTGTGCTAAGTGTAAAGTTTGATGGAGGGGGGATTATGGTGTGGGGTTGTTTTTCAGGGGTTGGGCTTGGCCCCTTAGTTCCAGTGAAGGGAACTCTTAAGGCATCAGCATACCAAGACATTTTGGACAATTTCATGCTCCCAACTTTGTGGGAACAGTTTGAGGATGGCCCCTTCCTGTTCCAACATGACTGCACAAAGCAAGGTCCATAAAGACATGGATGAGTGAGTTTGGGGTGGAGGAACTTGACTGTCCTGCACAGAGTCCTGACCTCAACCTGAAGGAACACCTGTGGGATGAATTAGAGTGGAGACAGCAAGCCAGGCCTTCTCGTCCGACATCAGTGGCTGACCTCACAAATGCACTTCTGGAAGAATGGTCAAACCTTCCCATAGACACCCTCCTAAACCTTGTGGACAGCCTTCCCAGAAGAGATAAAGCTGTTATAGCTGCGAAGGGCGGGGCCAACTCAATATTGAACCCTACGGACTAAGACTGGGAGGCCATTAAAGTTCATGTGCGTGTAAAGGCAGGAGACCAATACTTTTGGCAATATATTGTATGTATGTGTATGAGGGTCACAGATAATCTGCCTATGAATGAGTATTGCCTTATAATCTAAATGTGCCTCTGTGCTAAGTCAGTGCAACATAGCTGCATGAAATTGGCAAATCTATCAAGAGAACCTGTCTTCAATGGGCATCTGTAATCATTTAAATCTCCACTCTTGGTTTATTATAAAAGTGCAGCCTTATTAATCAGAGATTACAGGAATTGTACCATGTATCTGTATTCTCTCCCTGTCATATCTGTAAGACTATCCAGTGCCCTGCCTAAGCTGAACAGATCTAAAAGCTGTCACTTAACTAAGGATTGTTAATTGGCTGTTTCACCTCCTTCAACAGCCTGGACATGGTGTTAATTATTAGGCCTAAGCACGTGCAGCAGGTAGGTCAGCCTCAATGGGGGCCATAAGCTGGCCATAGATGCACTGAAATTTAGCTGGTTTAGCAGGGACTGGGCAAATTTCAATTAGTGTGTGGATATCTGCTGATCGACTTCTGGCGAATGGATAAGTCAAGAAATATTTGTTAATCAGTGGCTGCAGTCGCTGAATGATGTATTCTGACAGCACAATGTCTTGCTGTCTAGATACAGTGCCCCAGCGGGGGGAGAGGGATGCCTCCATTTGTAGATAGAGGAACATTTATTTTTCATTCCCATGGATGAAGAAGAAAAAAATACTTACATGTGACCAGCTTTACAGCCAGACACTGACCTGACATGTCTGCTGTGACAGAGAGAATAATGGAAGCAAATAACAGCACACAGCTCTTCCTGAGAGGTAAGGCTACACTATTATAAAAGTTTGGCAACTCAGATTTATTACAAATGTCCAGATGAGGCAAAGAATATCTCTCTTTGTTTGGAATTTTAACTTTAGGCTAGGTTCACACATTGGAAAAAGAAGCACACGGGGTGCAAACATCTAGTGCATTATCCAAACTTTATATAAAAGCGATAACATACTTACAAACATGGAAGCATAAAAGCCTATAAAGCCACTGAGATGACCCAACGTGGTAACAGAGTTCCCAACTGGTATTGAAGTCGGCTCCTTCCTCAGACCTAAAGCCGACCACAGTTTGTGCCCTAAGAAATGTGTGTGTCATAGGTACCGCCTATCTCAAGGCTCCTCCCCACAGCATGGGAGGGGACCAGATAGGGTAAAAATGATAAATAATAAAATATGTATAAGGTGGGCTCCACCTGGCCCTCTGGATACCCATTGGCTCAAGACAATACAATCTATTATGTTAAATGTAATGTTCACACCCTCATGATAAAAATCAATATACAGTTAGGTCCATATATATTTGGACACAGGCACAATTATAGATGTTTTCAGGTATTTACTAAAACATATTCAAGCTATTGTTATATAATGGATATGGGTGGAAAGTGCACACTCTCGGGTTTAATTTGAGGGTATGTACATCCAAATTGGAGGAAGGGTTTAGGAATTACAGCTCTTAAGAGTAGCCATCCCCTCCTTTTTTTTCAAGGGACCAAAAGTATTTGGACAATTGAATCAAAAGCTGTTTCATGGCCAGGTGTGGGGCTACCCCTTTGTTATTTCTTCAAAGGTTTGGAGTTGATTCTAAGTCTGGTATTTGCATTTGGAATCTATTGCTGTGAACCTACATCATGCATTCAAAGGAGCTGCCCATTTCTGAAAAAAAAAAACTAAAATTATGCCTGTGTCCAAATATATATGGACCTATCTGTATATGTGTATATATCTCTGAAGAAATCTATATGTATGTATAGAGAAAAAAAAATACCTTAGAAGAGGAAGGGGGAGAAAAAAAAAACAGCCAGTCGTGTGAAGGGGAAGAAAGGTTCACACATATGCAGGTTGTGGTTGATGTGTTTTTCTGATGCAGTTTTTTAAATTTTTGATGTAATTTGTATTTTTGGGATGTGTAAGGGCTCGTTCACACTTGGCTGTTTTACCAACGCTTGCCAAACGCCCCTATAGCGTTTGGCAAGCGTTGGTCCGGCGTTTGTGGAGCTTTTTTTAACGCTCGGCACTCCACAAACGCCGCATGCGCGGTTTAGCGGCAGTTGCTAGGCGTTTGCCGAGCGTTAAAAATGCCCCACAAACGCCTACAATGCAGTTTTGAATGGTGTTACCGCTCTGCAAACGCCCCGCAACCGGGTTGAACCGCACCGCAAACGCCGGCCGGGCCTTTGCAGAGCAGCACCATAGACTAGAATAGGAGGCTTCAACGCCTCCTGACTCGACCAGAGGCGTCCGTTTTGACGCAACGCGTTTGCGGAGCGGCATCATAGACTAGAATACGGTGCTTCAACGCCCTCTGACTCGACCAGAGGCGTCCGTTTTGACGCAATGCGACGCGACACAAACGCTCCCGTTAGAACAGCACCATGTGCTGTAATGTGCAGAATTGGCAGAGGCGTTTGGGAAGCGGTAAAAACGCCTCTCTGCCGCCTGCACACAACGCTAGTGTGAACGTAGCCTTAATGTTGCTAGGGGGAGGTGCAGGAAAAAAAAGCACCAAAAACGCACGTTACATGCACTTTTTATGCATTTGCATTGAAGTCTATGGAACCAAAAAACTCATCATGTTGCGGGCAAAAAAGTCCCTCACTGTTTCCAAAAAACGAATCGGCTAAAAACACACAGATGTGAACGTGACCCATAGGAAATCGTTTAATGGACTGTAGTGTGTTTCTGCAAAACTGAAAATGCACCGCAATACGCATAGGTGTGGACCTGGCCTAATAAATAATGGGTGTGAACATATTTGACTTATTTCCAGCCCTGCCAGTGGAGAGTAATATTTATTAGTAGATTATGGGTTCTACACACTTGTGGCTAATGCTTGTGTCTCTCAATCAGCTTCTGATGAATTATCTGGGGAATTACATCCCTCGTGTATGGACCTTTGAGACCGGCTGTGTCGTCTGTGATGAGGGCTTAAGGAGTCTCTCTGGATTTAAGGTAAATAAATTACCGTTCCTCTTTTTTTTTTTTTTTTATCATGCATTTAGTGATCAGAAAATCCATATTAATAAAGCTGATCTCCAGGAAAACAGCGAAGTACACCGATGACATGAGCTGTTTTACCTGCCAAGGAATTTGTCTTTTTGTCCATCCAGACCAGACCTGAGATTACACAGCTCTGCCACACAGTACAGATCTATCTGGTAGGGCAAGAGACCTGATTTGTAATCTGCTGCAGTTAAGTCTTGTTCCTCCCCCAGCCTGTGACTGTACAGTAAAAGGAGGAGCAATAGATTTATCCGTTTTATTTCTCTGTCACTCTGCTCTCTCCTCCTATCACCATTTCCCTTGGTAACACATGAGCACTGCAGCAGAATTGATTGGCTCCTTGTGCTGTCCCCTTCCTTTTCTAGTCTGAGTTCTGCTGTACAGGGACACAAGAGGCTGATACCAAGTCACATCCAGGCACTTACACTGCTTACACTTGGAAACTAAATATATTGTATTTATTCATTAACTAAATGTATTAATTTATTACATGTATGTATTTATTAAAGCGGATCCAGTCTCCTCTGCACTTTTCTACAAAATGCACCTGCATTATTCTCTTCAGTTGCAGTATATAATTAGGACAAGTGTATGTCATTTGCTTACTTGCAAATGTGACATTCCTCAGCAGGATCCCGGCAGGCAGGCAGCGGCCATTACTAGTGTGGGCATCTGAAGCCAGCTCCTACTTTCTTCTGGATTCTGTGCAGCTGGCTACCCAGCATGCACCTCCTGATCTTGCGCTGTAAGGACATGGCACGGCACACTGTGTTTGTAGGTTGCCATAACAATGGCGACGGCGGCGACGGAAGATCCCGACCAGTTGTTATGGCAACCTGTCAATCATTCCTCCTGATAACGTCACTTCTCGGTCAAAAAAATACCGCGAGACTTCACCATTAGGCTTCCCAAAGACACCTGGGGAAAAACCAATGGCGATATCCCAAGAGTTTTAGGGAATCACGTAATGATGAAGTCGCCTAGGCGGCTGGACGGAAGTGCAGGATACTGACAGCAAAGGGAGGGGATAGTGGCACAGGAGGAGATAGCTGTGGGGGATGGAGTGGTAGGAAGAGTGGAGGAGGTCGGCAGGTTAGCAGGGGGTGGGGTAGGCTTCCCTGAAGAGATGGGTTTTCAGGGTGCGCCTAAAGGAGAGGAGAGTAGGTGATAATCTGATGGGTTGGGGCAGGGAGTTCCAGAGGATGGGTGACACCCTGGAGAAGTCCTGGAGGCGGGCATGGGAGGAGGAGACCAGGGAACTAGAGAGAAGGAGGTCTTGTGCGGAGCGGAGTGTGCGTGCTGGGCGGTACTTGGATATTAGGTCGGTGATGCAGTACGGGGCAGTGTGGTGGACAGCTTTGTACGTCAGTGTTAAATAAAAATATCCCATAACAGACTGTTCTGCGGGTGGGCATTGTGTGGCAAGAATCATGAAAAAAGGGTGGAACTCCGCTGTAAGATTATTATATTTAGTTTGTTAAAATGTATTCATTTTTATCTATAAAATTTTATTTTATTTATTACATTTGGCATGACCTGTTCAATTCCTTGCTCCTCTACATCCTCTGGCTGCTGCAGAATGGCGGTTGGCATAGTCAGAATGGTAGTAGGTACCCTATTGCTGCAGTTTTACTGTTGCTAAACTTTTGTTTTTATTTTTTTATTGTGGAACACCTTCTCTTATTCCCACCTTGACACCTTTACTGCCCTGGATCAGCTCATCTTACAAGCCTTCTCCTCTTTTCTTTTTTTTTTTTTTGTCAGACTGACGAATCTTTCCCATTGGTTGTGATTGGTGTTTTTATTGATCAGCCCACGCCATTCACCTCAGAGTTCTTCAAGCGGATTAGTAACCTGGAGTACCCCAAGAAGCGTATCCAGCTGTATATCGCCAGTCGTGTGAGTACGACCGTGCTGTTAGAAGACAGGCGGTGAATCTTCCATTGCATGCTGCTCAGCCAGCAGATGCAAATTTGCACTGATGCCCCTGGATTCTGCTTACACATGCAGAATCCATGATTATCCATAACATTCCTCGCTGTGGCTATGTGTCTTGCAAGGCTTGCTGGGAAATATTTAACCCTTTGTTTCCTGTAACTCCAGGAGCCCAATCATCAGAGACAAGTGGAGAAGTTCTTGAAGGAACACAGTGCAGAATACAACCTAGTAAAATACATTGCACCAGAAGAAATCTCAAATGCCGCAGATGTCCGCAATGCTGGAATGTAAGTTTTTTTGTTTGCTTCTTATTTTTTATATGTGTAACAAAAGGTAAAAATATATATACAGTCTATACAGTATTCTCAATATACCTATTACATAACATGATCAAGGGGTGTAGATAATGGGGGGGTGATGGGGGTCCAAAACATCCCCAGAGTGTCTGTCAATGGTACAGTCTCTGCAGCTGGCTAGGAAACGTCAGCTAGCAATTATGTTTCCTGGAGCTGAATAAATTGAAATAGACCACCACAATAGAGTACCCACGCACACCACCTAATTGTCTCCCTTTTTGGTTCCCAAAGCTGAACCCCCTTCCCAGAAAAGAAAATTATCTTCGGACTTGGATGTCATAATCTTAGAAATAGTCTTATTGCCTGCGTAAACATTTGAAAAAAACTAAGTACATATTCGTGTGCGTATTACATGTGCAGCCTCTGCTTCCTTCAGGCTAGGTTCACACTGCCACAACTTGGGATCCGACTTGTGAGACCCCAAGTCGCATGACATGTTAAATTCCATGTTAGTCATTGAGAGCCGTCCTAATTAGCACTGCAGAAGTCACTCCAACTTTAGAAAAGGTTCCTGTATTACTTCAAGGCGACTTCTATCCGACTTGTGCCCATAGACGTTAATGGAAGTCGCCTCCATGGTCAGATCCTCGTCTATACTGATGTGATTTGGATCTGACATTAAAGGAAGATTACCCAGGCAAAGTGGCATGGCATAAAAGTCACACATCAAAGTCGTACTCAAAGTCGCATCAAGTCGCCAGCAAATCGTCAGGAAGTTGCATGGCAAAGTCGCACCGTAAGTCACTTGACTTTCAAGTTGCGGTAATATAAATCGGGCCTCAGAGTGCTTTATATAGATGATACATGTTTATGTTTAGCAGGATTGTTGCATTCCCCAGCGTATCCCCACGTAAGCCGAGAGAGAGATTGTTTATATAAATACAGGCGTACCTCGGCTTATGAATGTAATTTGTTCCACGGGACTTTTCGTATTGTGAAGAATTCTTAATACGAATCGTGGTTTCCCATAGGCATGCATTGAAAACCAATTAATCTGTTCTGTAAAAAAAAAGTATTTTATCTGTTCAAACCTCTTTATAAAGTGAACTTTAAAGACATAAATACTGTACAGGGACATGATTAAAAATTAATTTGTAAATGTATTGAAAACGAATTAGGCTGTTCCAGAGGTCACAAAAAAAAAGTAAAAAAAAGTTTTATCTGTTCAAAACTCTTTATAAAGTGCACTTTAAAAGCAAAAAGGGACATAATTAAAAAAAAATACGTAAATGCATTGAAAACCAATTAATCCATTCCGGAGGTCAGAAAAAGTCCCAAAAAAAGTATTTTATCTGTTCAAAACGCTTTATAAAGTGCACTTTAAAGGCATAAATACTGTACAGGGACATGATTAAAAATTAATTCGTAAATGCATTGAAAACCAATTAATCCCGTTTGTATTGTGAAAATAATTCGTAAACCGAGCCATTATTTTCAATCGATTTTCATTCATAAACCGAAAATTGCGTTAACTGAGTCGTTCATAAACCGAGGTACGCCTGAATGTGCAAAAGGATCACTCTCAGCTGAAAACTTGCTCTTAAATTAAATACACTGTAAAAGACATTTAAATTCTATTCCAAGCCACAACTTTGTTCCGCTTTAGTTCTGGAGATAGAATATTGAATAGTTAGAGGATGATTCACCCCAGTGGACACACAGAAGTAAAAACCTGACAGGGAGTCCAACCCTTCCACACTGCATCCAAAACTAAAAAAGTTTGATTTTTAGATACACTTTAACATACTTTGTTACCTGTAATAAAGAAAAAACCTCCAGCCTTCCCTTCAGTCTTCCCACAATTATTCAGGCTCCTCACCTGTACTGAAATTGCCAGTTGTGAGCTTCTTACAGTTACATTAGTAGCTGCAGTAAGTCAGACAGGGCCCACCTCATTTCCTGCCTGGAAAACGCCCAGCATCATCCAGCACTTTCTTGCCCAGCCTGACTATCCCAGACCCACTGTTTCAATCATTGGAATTCACTTAGTGTTACTAAACCTACAACCATAAAATCAGTCTGTATATGCAGTGAAGCATGCTTGTTAGACTCACTGTGGAACTTAAGGGGTTAATCCTCTGCATTGTGTAAAAAAGGATGCTTAATCCTGTCTTCTCTGACCCTCCCATTCTTCCACTGTCCCCTACTCCATCTCCTGATCGAACAGAGCCTTGGGGCAAGCTGCACATGCTCAGTTTGGTGTGTATTGCTGGAGAGTGTTTTTTTTTTGGGGGGATAGTGCATGTGATCAGCACAGGGCCAACCAGCACTGTCCAGACAGTTATGCAGTTATGCAGTCTCTTAGGACAGTGTGAGGAGAATGAAAACTACTCCTACAAGCTTTAACCAGTGCTCTGCTGGACACTGATAGAAGTCACAAGACTGCTCTAACTGCTGATGAGAAAAGGTATTTAGCAGTTTATATTTACAAAAATAATTGCATTTCTATGTTCTGTGTACTGTGGGAGACCAGATATAGTGAATGCAGGGTCCCAGGGAAGACCAGATATAGTGAATGCAGGGTCCGGGGAGACCAGATATAGTGAATGCAGGGTCCGGAGCAGATATAGTGAATGCAGAGTCCGGGGAGAGCAGATATAGTGAATGCAGGGTCCTGGGATATAGTGAGCAGGGTCCTGGGAGACCAGATATAGTGAATGCAGGGTCCTGGGAGACCAGATATAGTGAATGCAGGGTCCGGGGAGACTAGATATAGTGAATGCCGAGTCCGGGGAGACTAGATATAGTGAATGCCGAGTCCGGGGAGACTAGATATAGTGAATGCCGAGTCCGGGGAGACTAGATATAGTGAATGCCGAGTCCGGGGAGACTAGATATAGTGAATGCCGAGTCCGGGGAGACTAGATATAGTGAATGCCGAGTCCGGGGAGACTAGATATAGTGAATGCCGAGTCCGGGGAGACTAGATATAGTGAATGCCGAGTCCGGGGAGACTAGATATAGTGAATGCCGAGTCCGGGGAGACTAGATATAGTGAATGCCGAGTCCGGGGAGACTAGATATAGTGAATGCCGAGTCCGGGGAGACTAGATATAGCCGAGTCCGGGGAGACTAGATATAGTGAATGCCGAGTCCGGGGAGACTAGATATGAATGCCGAGTCCGGGGAGACTAGATATAGTGAATGCCGAGTCCGGGGAGACTAGATATAGTGAATGCCGAGTCCGGGGACTAGATATAGTGAATGCAGGGTCCGGGGAGACCAGATATAGTGAATGCAGGGTCCTGGGTTTAGTCATTGGGACTCTGCATCACATGTGGGCATTATCTAGGGCAGGGGTCTCCAAACTTTCTAAGCAAAGGGACAGCTTACTGTCTTTAGACTTTATGGGGGCCGGACTGTAGCCGGTGGGAGTAGAAAAGCCTCGGCATCAGTGCCCCATCATCAGTTTTAATTGGAGGAATAGTGCCCCATTGTTGATATCAAAGAGAAGTATAATGCCCTATTGATGGTGCCAGTAGAGGGAATGCTCTATCACTGGTGACAGTTGGTGGAATAGTGCCCCAAGGGTCAGATAAAGGCAAGCAAAGGGCCAAATCTGGCCCCAGGGTCGCAGTTTAGAGACCACCGATCTAGGTTATTCTGCATGCAAATACAGCCTGTCTAGGAATGCCCACTCTTCCATTTTGACTCCCACCCATTAAGGCATTTTGATATTTGCATACAGTAACTCCTCCCAAGAGCCAGGCAATTGCATTCATCAGGGCTCTTTAGAGAACTACTGAGGCAGGCTGGTGTTATGTTTTCAGGAGGCTATATACAGCAACCTGCTGGCCCCACCCACCAGTTATAATCTGCAAATCTGCCTGCATTTCATAGAGAACCACAGAGACTCAGTGAGGACATCACTGAGTCTAAAATAAGGTATTAATTAAAACAGAGAGGTTTTATTCAATATTTTTTATGTATATGTTTTTTTATATTTAAATTATAATATAAATACTATATAATAAATATATATCATTTTTTTTATTTTATTAGCATGTTGATGAGAGGGGAAATATAAACAATATTAAACATTCGGCTTTAATAAAACCAGCAATATAAGACCCTGTGATCCATATAGATGATATAAACTATTTGAACAGACATTGGTTATATGGTGCTGTGGTTTCCTCGTTTATAATTTTATTGTTAATAATGCAACAAACTGTTCCAATACTCTTTATTATTTACAAAGATCAGCCATAAAAATATATTTAGACATGTCTACAATAACAATGTAAACCATTATATACTAGTGAAGAATATGGTGCTCAGGACTTCTGCCGCCATTGGGGAAGAGCCAACCAATCATTGGGGCAAATTTACTAAGACTGGAGCAAACAGAACCTGGAGAAGTGAAACCACAAAGAGGGGAAAAAAGGAGAGCTGGGACTTTAAGGTACCATTGGGGTTTAGGAACAGACTTCATTTATCAGAATCTGGAGCAACTGTGCATTGCAACCAATCAGGTTTTATCTTTTATTTTCAAAGCCTAACTGAACAAGTTGAAGATAAAAGTTGATTGGTTATTGTGCCCAGCTGTGCCAGATTCTGTCTGCTCCAGTGTTCGTAAATCTCCCCATTGTTTCCCTCTCTTTTCTGAACCTCGTTTTTAGCAGAGACCATTTGACCAATGCTTGGCATCCAGCTGCACAGTATGTGGGATGTTAATTTTACAATACAGGTCCTCTTTATTTGTAAGAAATAATTTCTAGAACTATTTACTCAGATTGTTCTTTTAAAATTCAATTTAGTTAAACAATAATGTCGTTTGTATTTATTTTTAACGTGGCAGATTTTAGTTAATTTTGTGCTTCTCCCCCTCTTTCAGGGATATTTGCCGGCAGAACCCGGAGTGTGAATATTATTTTAGCATTGACGTGCAGGTGGTGCTGAAAAATGCCAGCATACTGCGGACACTCATAGAACAAAACAAGTATGTTGTGGTTTTAACGTTGTCTCTAAAGTGGACCCATAGCCACCATTGTGATGGTTGAAGCAGTGATCTGCATAGGTCTAACCAGTCACCATGTCTTCTCCCCAGGTCCATCCTCTCCCCTATGATCAGCCGGGTTCAGGACTTGTGGTCCAATTTCTGGGGGGCGCTGAGCAAAGAGGGGTTCTACGCCCGATCTGAGGATTATGTTGAAATCGTCCAGAGACAGAGGATGTGAGTACATTTATGGGTCCTTTGAGCAAAGCTTTTCAGGGCCACCCAAAAGTGTTTTTATTTTTTAGGTGGAGCACTGACTCTCCCTGCCGTAATTCTTAACTCTGTTCCCACCCACCTTTATGTATTCCAGCCCTCCTGTTACCTTTTTCATAAAATCCAACAATGCTGGGAGGTCCTCATAATGGGCACATCAGTGGTGCAGACCTGGGAACTCAACCCAGGGGTGGTGAAAACCCGTCATAATGAGCAATGAAGGTGTACAGACCCAGGAGCTCAACACAGAGAGGGTAGAAGCCCCTCATAATGGACACATCAGCTGTGCAGACCTGGGAACTCAGAGCAGGAATGGTGGGAACTCCTTAAACCAACACGGCACTCAGGGTACAGGGTTGGGATGTTGGAAGCGCAAACCTTGGGAACTCAGGGTTGGGATGTTGGAAGCCCCTGCTATTGGGCACAGCAGGTGTACAGACCTGAGAAACCAACACAGGGATGGTGGCAACCCCTCGAAGGGCACAGCAGGTGTGAGAACTCAGTGCAGGGATGGTGGGAAACCCTCCTAATGAGCACAGTAGGTGTGCAGAGCCAGGAGTTCAACACAGAAATAGTGGGGACTTCTCATAATGGGCATAGCAGATGTGGAGACCTGGAAAGTCAGAGCATAGGGATGGAGGGAACCCCTCATAACGGGCACAGACTCAAGAGGTGCAGAGATCTCACCAACAGAATTCCTGAGATATAAAAGAGACTGTCAAGAGTTTGTCTGCATCATCCAATCGACACTGAAAGGACTGGGCCTTTAAAGGAAGACTAAGCCAAAGATATCAGTGACCCCACATAGCTGCTGGTAAAACTAACCGAGATCCTACAATCTGATGTTGACATCTGTGGTTATATTAAGTTGTGGTAAACCCCGTGTTCTTATAATTACTGACTCTGAGCCTGTGCTTACAGTGGCATCTGGAACGTCCCATACATCACCGATGTGTATCTGGTGAAAGGCAGCGTGCTCCGGACTAAACTGAACCAGTATGACATGTTTCGCAGTGGTCACCTGGACCCCGATATGGCGTTTTGTGACAACGTCCGCAAACAGGTCACTATAACATGGGATGGGGGGAAGGGTATGCTTACAGGATGGGTTATGTGGATGATGGGAACAGGGCAAAAGTCAACCATTTAAATGTACATTTTAAACCACTTTAAAGTGTTACTAATCCCAGGACCCTGCATTCACTATATCTGGTCTCCCCGGACCCTGCATTCACTATATCTGGTCTCCCCGGACCCTGCATTCACTATATCTGGTCTCCCCGGACCCTGCATTCACTATATCTGGTCTCCCCGGACCCTGCATTCACTATATCTGGTCTCCCCGGACCCTGCATTCACTATATCTGGTCTCCCCGGACCCTGCATTCACTATATCTGGTCTCCCCGGACCCTGCATTTACTATATCTGGTCTCCCCGGACCCTGCATTTACTATATCTGGTCTCCCCGGACCCTGCTTTCACTATATCTGGTCTCCCCAGACCCTGCCTTCACTATATCTGGTCTCCCCAGACCCTGCATTCACTATATCTGGTCTCCCCAGACCCTGCCTTCACTATATCCGGTCTCCCAGGACCCTGCATTCACTATATCTGGTCTCCCAGGACCCTGCATTCACTATATCCGGTCTCCCAGGACCCTGCATTCACTATATCCGGTCTCCCAGGACCCTGCATTCACTATATTCGGTCTCCCTGGACCCTGCATTCACTATATCTGGTCTCCCACAGTACACAGAACATGGAAATGCGATTATTATAGTAAATATAAAATGCTAAATACCTTTTCTCATCAGCAATATATAGCAGTCTTGTGACTTCTATCAGTGTTCATCTGAGCACTGGATAAAGTTTATAGGAGGTGTTTTCATTCTGCTCTGACTGTCCTATGAGGCTGCATAAGCCCTGACCCTCAGTCTGGATAGTGCTGATTGGCTCTGTGCTGATCACATGCACCCTTCCAAAGAAAGAAAAAGCAATGCAATCTCTAGCAATGCACACTAAACTGAGCATGTGCAGAGTGACTCCAGGAGCTCTGTACTATCAACAGATGAATTGAGGACAGTAGAAGAAGGGGAGGATCAGAGAAAACAGGATCAAACAGCCTTTTTACACAATGCAGACGATTAACCCCTTAGGTTCCACAGAGAGTATAACAAGCATGCTTTACTGTATATACAGACTGATTGTACTGTTGTGGGATTAGTAACGCTTTAAGACAAGGCCTTTTCTGACACTTTTTATTTACATGTAAAAATCAGTATTTTTTGCTAGAAAATTACTTAGAATCCCTAAACATTATATATTTTTTCAAAGCAGAGGCCCTAGAGAATAAAATGGTGGGTGTTGTAATTTTTTATGGCACAAGTTATTTTTGCGCAGCGTTTTTTTAAAAGGCAATTTGTTTGGAAAAAATATACTTTAATGAATTTTAATGCACAAAAACACAACAGAATACCCAATTGTTTGAGAAAATATAAAATATGATGTTACGCCGAGTAAATGAATACCAAACATGATATGCTTTAAAACTGCGCATGCCCGTGCAACACTGACAACCCACGTACATTTTATTATCCATAGTCAATGCTTTAAAAGCCTTTACAGGTTACCACTTTAGATTTACATAGGAGGTCTGGTGCTAGGAATACTGCTTTTGATCCAATGTTTGCAGTGATATTACACGTGTGGTGCGAACTCTGTTTACTTATGTGTGAAGGATCTATGTGTGCGTTTGCCTTTGTGTGCGGGATGAGGGTGCTTTTAAAAAAAAAAATGTTTTCATTCAATTTAATTTTTTTATTTCTACACTGTCCCTTTGTTTTTTTTATCACTATTATCACAGGAAATGTACTATAAATATCCTTTGTGATAGCAATAGGCAGTGACAGGTTCTCTTTTCTGTAAGCAGTGACAGGTTACTTTTTTCTGAGAGATCTGGGGTCTGTTAGACCTCAGATCTCTCTTCTGCCTTTAAAAGCCTTGGATCATACAATGAAAATAATGTGTATGGCCAGCTTAAGATGCAAGTCAGATGCATCATTTGCAATAGAAATTATAGTTTTGGTGACACCCCAAGGGTTAAATACTTAGGATGCCGACCCTGCAGCTGTCCTCATTAAAATGCTGAGAGGTTGATTTACTAAAACTGGAGAGTGCAGAATCTGGTGCAGCTCTGCAGGGCAGCCAATCAGCTTCTAACTTCAGCTTGTTCAAGTTAGGGTTTGACAATAAAACCTGGAAGCTGATTGGTTTCTATGTACAGCTGCACCAGATTTTGCACTCTTCAGTTTTAGTAAATGAATCCCTGAGAGTGCACCAGATCAGGGGCGGACTGACAACTCATGGGGCCCCTGGGCAATAGGGGATCATGGGGCCCCTGTGTCCTTGCCCACACTCAAAGCATACCCAAAACAGCCTATAAAAAGGTAACAGGGGCATTTCATGGGGCCCCCTACTGACCCTGGGCCCTTGGGCAGTGCCCGAGTGTTCAAATGGTCAGTCCGCCCCTGCACCAGATGATTATAATGAACCAGGCCCTCCTATACAGAATCAGTCTGCACAGGACATGGAGAAATAAACAGTTATTTTTCAGAAAAACACAGCGTAGGAATCTGCTACAAAGTTTGTGTAAAATCACAGCAATCTATATTGATCATCAGAGAGATTATTTTTTTCCTAAACAAAAGTGGAGTTACTCTTTTAAACTTTTTTTTTAGCTACATTCTCATATATGGTGGAAACCTTACTGAACTTTGTATGTACGCCATTCCTGCTATGTGGGGGACAACACAAGTGTTAATGTGACCTGTGATAGTGTCTGGGGAGAGCAGTCTGGGCGTGTGAAGTCAATATGGTGTGCGTGTCACTTTTCATATACTGATGTCCTTCTCACTTCCAGGGGGTTTTCTTGTTTGTGAGCAACAGGCAGCTGTTTGGCCACCTCCTGTCTCTGGAGAATTATCAGACCAGCCACCTCCATAATGACCTGTGGCAGATCTTTGAGAACACCCAGGTGAGACCGCAATAGATAAAATGTCCCAAATTGTATGAAGAGGAGACCTGAGAATTGCCTCAGTCTTTTCAGGAATGAATGCAAATCAGAAATACAGTATCCATCTAACTGATTATCTAGCTGTCAGTCTGTCCTCTCTCTATTTACTATCATACAGTATTTCTGTTCTTTCTGTCTCTCTTTATATATCTTCTTTTTGTTTTAATTTTCTTTTCGTCTCCTTTTCTTTTTTTTTTTTTTTCTTTCTCTCTTCTCACATAATATTTAATTATTTTATTAAAATCCTTTGTGGTGTTGATCTTGGTCTTTGCTCTTTCTCTCGCTTACTCTTTCATTCTTTCTCTCCTTCTCAATTTCTTTTTTTCTTTGCTGTTTCTTTCTTTTTCTTTCCCTCTCTCTTTCTTTTTCTCTCTTCTCTTTCTTTCTCTCACTCTTTCTTTTCCTCTTGCTCTCTTTCTTTTTATCTCTGCTCGTTCTTTCTTTCTCTCACTCTTTCTTTTTCTTTCGCTTCTTTCTTTTTCTCACTCTTTTTTTTTCTCACTCTTTCTTTTTCTCTCGCTCTTTTTCTCTCGCTCTTTTTCTCTCGCTCTTTTTCTCTCGCTCTTTTTCTCTCGCTCTTTTTCTCTCGCTCTTTTTCTCTCGCTCGCTCTTTTTCTCTCGCTCGCTCTTTTTCTGTCGCGCTCGCTCTTTTTCTGTCGCGCTCGCTCTTTTTCTCTCGCTCTTTTTCGCTCGCTCTTTTTCTCTCGCTCTTTTTCTCTCGCTCTTTCTTTTTCTCTCGCTCTCTTTCTTTTTCTCTCGCTCTCTTTCTTTTTCTCTCGCTCTCTTTCTTTTTCTCTCGCTCTCTTTTCTTTTTCTCTCGCGCTCTTTTTTTTTTCTCTCGCTCTCTTTCTTTTTCTCTTGCTCTCTTTCTTTTTCTCTCGCTCTCTTTCTTTTTTCTTTTTCTCTATTTTTTTTTCTTTTTTGCTCTTGATCTCCCATATACCTGTCTTCTCACATAATATTTAATTATATTGCTAAACTAGTTTGGTTTTGATCTTGGGCATTCTTTCTCTCAATTAACTTTTACCTTTAATTCCTTTCCAAATTCTGCTTGATAGCTCGATAGATAAATATACAGTGTGTATATATGTTTGTATGTATGTATGTATATATTACTATAAAGCAATAAGAAAGGCTCTGCGAACATAAAATGTGCTATATATTGAATAAGCACCACTGTAAAAACCAACGTGATCACGTGTATGACAAATAAAGGATGGACTAATCTTTATTTGTCGTACAAGGTAGTATCAAAAAGTTGTCGAGGATTATTACCGGTGAGAAAACTTGGGTGTACAGGTTTCACACAGAATTTCAAGTTTTCTCTTTGTTCTAACTTGATGAAATAGCAGATGTACTAATGCACGTGGTCAGAATAGCACCAGTTGCACAGCTCTGGGTGTACACAGGACGATATATTTCTGGCACAATGACTTGTGAAGGTTGGTGCTCACTGAGACTGTGCATGCAGCCTTGTGCTGCCATCTGTTGGCGTGTTACAAAACTAGTCTCAAAACTTTTTGATACCACCTCGTACCCTTGATCACTTTAGTTTTTTACAGTGGTGCTTATTTGACACATATTTTATGTTCGCAGCGACTTTAAAATTGCTATTGCATTATTGTGTTGCATATTTTTATTGAAAATGACACAAAGATAAATCATTTCAGAACTTTTTCCAGCTTTAATGTAACCTATAAACTGTACAACTGTTCAAAATTAGGCAATTACATTCACAATCATGTTAAATAGGAGTCAGTACACACCTGCCATCATTTAAAGTGCCTCTGATTAACCCCAAATTAAAGTTCAGCTGTTCTAGTAGGTCTTTCCTGACATTTTCTTAGTCACATCCTACAGCAAAAGTCATTGTCCGCAGAGAGCTTCCAAAGCATCAGAAGGATCTCATTGTTAAAAGGTATCAGTCAGGAGAAGGATACAAAAGAATTTCCAAGGCATTAGATATACCATGGAACACAGTAAAGACCGTCATCATCAAGTGGAGAAAATATGGGGCAACAGTGACATTACCAAGAACTGGACGTCCCTCCAAAATTGATGAAAAGACGAGAAGAAAACTTGTCTGGGAGGCTGCCAAGAGGCCTATGGCAACATTAAAGGAACTGCATATCTGGCTGTGTGGTCCATGTGACAACAATCTCCCATATTCTTCATTTGTCTGGGCTATGGGGTAGAGTGGCAAGATGGAAGCCTTTTCTTACGAAGAAAAACATCCAAGCCCAGCTAAATTTTGCAAAAACACATCTGAAGTCTCCTCAAAAGCAAGTGGGAAAATGTGTTCTGGTCTGATGAAACCAAGGTTGAACTTTTTGGCCATAATTCCGAAAGATATGTTTTGGTGCAAAATCAAACACTGCACACATCACCAAAAGAACACCATACCCACAGTGAAGCATGGTGGTGGGCAGCATCATGCTTTGGGGCTGTTTTTTCTTCAGCTTGGAACTGGGGGCCTTAGTCAAGGTAGAGGGAATTATGAACAGTTCCAAATACTGTTAATATTGGCACAAAACCTTTACGCTTCTGCTAGAAAGCTGAACATATAGAGGAACTTCATCTTTTTGACAACGACCCAAAACATACATCCAAATCAACAAAGGAACGGCTTCACCAGAAGAAGATTAAAAGTTTTGGAATGGCCCAGCCAGAGCCCAGACCTGAATCCAATGGAAAATCTGTGGGGTGATCGGAAGAGGGCTGTGCACAGGAGATGCCCTCGTAGTCTGACAGATTTGGAGTGTTTTTACAAGGAAGAGGGCAAATATTGCCAAGCCAAGATTGCCATGCTGATAGACTCTTACCCAAAAAGACTGAGTGCTGGAATCAAATCAAAGGAGCTTTAACAAAATATTAGTTTAGGGGTGCGCATACTTATGCAACCATATTATTTTAGTTTTTTATTTTGACTTTCCTCCATCTAAATGATTTCAGATTTCACTGAGTTGTACAGTTTATAGGTTACATTAAAAGTGGAAAAAAAAATCTGAAATGATTTATCTTTATCTCGTTTTTTTACATTACAGAAACCTGGCATTTTAAATGGGATTTGTAGACTCTTTTATATCCAGTGTGTGTGTGTGTGTGTGTGTGTGTGTGTGTGTGTGTGTGTGTGTGTGTGTATTAGATGACGTGGTTTTTTTATTGTAAAAAAATTATGTATTGCTAAAACTAGTTGCTTTTTGAACTTGGGCACTGGAAAGAAAACTTACATTCACCCTAATCACATTTTTGCTCTCAATAGAAAAAAGTGTGTATATATGTGTATGTATGTAAGTCTTAGATTACTATAAAGCAATAAGTCATTCGAACATAAAATGTGCCTTTTTTTTGAATAGCACACTGTAAAAACCAACATTTTCACGTGTATGCAATAAAGTTGGACTAAAATTTGTCGTACAAGGTAATCAAGTGTCGAGGATTCTTGTGTACATAGTACACAAATTTCAAGTTTCTAACTTTGTTCAACTTGATCAAATTGCAGATGTTACTAATGCAACGTGGTCCCAGAATAGCATAAGGGCATCAGCTCTGGGCTACACAGGAATAATTTCTGACAATGACTTGTGAAGGTTGCTGTCACTGAGACTGCATACCAATCTGTTGGCGTGTTACAAAATAGTCAAAACTTTTTGATACCGCTTGTATCCATGATCAATCATGTATTTCACATATTTTGCAGCGACTTTTAAAATTGCTATTGATTGTGTTGCATATTTTTATTAAAAATGACACAAAGATAAATCATTTGACTCCCAGCTTAATGTAACCTATAAACTGTAAAACTGTTCAACCAAAATAGGCTAATTAACATTCACAATCATGTTAAATAGGAGTCAGTACACACCTGCCATCATTTAAAGTGCCTCTGATTAACCCCAAATAAAGTTCAGCTGTTCTAGTAGGTCAGAACATTTTCTTAGTCACATCCTACAATGCAAAAAGTCATTGTCCGCAGAGAGCTTCCAAAGCATCAGAAGGATCTCATTGTTAAAAGGTATCAGTCAGGAGAGGGTAAAAAGAATTTCCAAGGCATTAGATATACCATGGAACACAGTGAAGACCGTCATCATCAAGTGGAGAAAATATGGGGCAACAGTGACATTACCAAGAACTGGACGTCCCTCCCTTTGATGAAAAGACGAGAAGAAAACTTGTCTGGGAGGCTGCCAAGAGGCCTATGGCAACATTAAAGGAGCTGCATATCTGGCTGTGTGGTCCATGTGACAACAATCTCCCATATTCTTCCTATGTCTTATGGGCTATGGGGTAAAAGTGGCAAGATGGAAGCCTTTTCTTACGAAGAAAAATAGCCCAGCTAAATTTTGCAAAAACACATCTGAAGTCTCCAAAAGCAAGTGGGAAAATGTTCTGGTCTGATGAAACCAAGGTTGAACTTTTTGGCCATAATTCCGAAAGATATGTTTGGTGCAAAATCAACACTGCACATCACCAAAAGAACACCGATACCCACAGTGAAGCATGGTGGTGGCAGCATCATGCTTTGGGGCTGTTTTTACTTCAGCTGGAACTGGGGCCTTAGTCAAGGTAGAGAGGGATTATGAACAGTTCCAAATACTGTTAATATTGGCACAAAACCTTTACGCTTCTGCTAGAAAGCTGAACATATAGAGGAACTTCATCTTTCAGCATGACAACGACCCAAAACATACATCCAAATCAACAAAGGAACGGCTTCACCAGAAGAAGAAAAAAGTTTTGGAATGGCCAGCCAGAGCCCAGACCTGAATCCAATGGAAAATCTGTGGGGTGATCGGAAGAGGGCTGTGCACAGGAGAATGCCCTCGCAGTCTGACAGATTTGGAGTGTTTTTACAAGGAAGAGGGCAAATATTGCCAAGCCAAGATGTGCCATGCTGATAGACTCATACCCAAAAAGACTGAGTGCTGGAATCAAATCAAAAGGAGCTTCAACAAAATATTAGTTTAGGGGTGCGCATACTTATGCAACCATATTATTTTAGTTTTTTATTTTGACTTTCCTCCATCTAAATGATTTCAGATTTCACTGAGTTGTACAGTTTATAGGTTACATTAAAAGTGGAAAAAAAATCTGAAATGATTTATCTTTATCTCGTTTTTTTATATTACAGAAACCTGGCATTTTAAATGGGATTTGTAGACTCTTTATATCGCGCGTGTGTGTGTGTGTGTGTGTGTGTGTGTGTGTGTGTATTAGATGACGTGGTTTTTTATTGTAATAAAACATGTATGCTTTCATTGAACAGGACTGGAAAGAAAAGTACATTCACCCTAATCACAGTTTTGCTCTCATAAAAAATATGGAAGCGGTAAGTCTTAGATTACAGGGAGGAGCCATAGTCATTCTAATGTTCCTTTTTTTTTAGCTACATGTAAAAGAAAACATTTTCATGTTTGCAATAGTTGAGACTAAAACTGAAGTACACAGAATCTAGTGCATCTGTGCATAGTAGCCAATCAGCTTCTAACTTCAACTTGATCAGTTGAAGTGTTACTAACAACCCCCCAACCCTGCATTCACTATATCTGGTCTCCCTGGACCCTGCATTCACTATATCTGGTCTCCCCGGACCCTGCATTCACTATATGTGGTCTCCCCGGACCCTGCATTCACTATATCCGGTCTCCCCGGACTCTGCATTCACTATATCTGGTCTCCCCGGACCCTGCATTCACTATATCCGGTCTCCCCGGACTCTGCATTCACTATATCTGGTCTCCCCGGACCCTGCATTCACTATATCCGGTCTCCCCGGACTCTGCATTCACTATATCTGGTCCCCCCCGACCCTGCATTCACTATATCTGGTCCCCCCCCGGACCCTGCATTCACTATATCTGGTCTCCCAGGACCCTGCATTCACTATATATGGTCTCCCCGGACCCTGCATTCACTATATCTGGTCTCCCCGGACTCTGCACTCACTATATCTGGTCTCCCCGGACCCTGCATTCACTATATCTGGTCTCCCAGGACCCTGCATTCACTATATCTGGTCCCCCACAGTACATAGAACATGGAAACGCAATTATTTTAGTAAATATAGTTAGAGCAGTCTTGTGACTTCAGCAGAGCACTGGTTAAAACTTGTAGGAGCAGTTTTCTCTAGGAGGACGCAGAACCCCTGACCTCTGTCTGGACTGTGCTTATTGGCCCTGTGCTGATCACATGCACTTTCCCCCAAAAAAAAAAAAAAACTTCTCTAGCAATACACACTAAACTGAGCATGTGCAGAAGGGCACAGTTCAATCTGTTTTATCAGTGTCGGCATTTGAACAAGAGGAGGGGCAGAGAAGTCAGGATCAAACAGCCTTTTTACACAATGCAAAGGATTAACCCCTTAGGTTCCACAGTGAGTATAACAAGCATGCTTTACTGCATATACAGACTAATTTTACTGTTGTGGGTTTAGTAACACTTTAAGCTTTGGCAATAAAACCTGAAAACTGATTGGTTTCTATGCAGAGCTGCACCAGATTTTGCACTGTTCATTTTTAGTAACCCCCCGCCATGTTATCAATGTTATCAGTTAATGTTTTACAAACTGTTTTTTCTGGGTATAGTCTGTAGTACATGTACATAGGAGGAACCATATTTATTCAATATATATTGTAGGTTCAGCTTATAGCTCCGTACTTGTGACAGGTTCTGTCTGGTGAAGTTTCAGGTGACATAAAAACTAACAATAGAAGCCAGAGACAAGGGGGTTATGTACTAAAACCGGAGAGTGAAAGATCTGGTGCAGCTCTGCATAGAAACCAATCAGCTTCCAGGTTTTATTGAAAAAGCTGAAGTTAGAAGCTGATTGGCTTCCATGAACAGCTGCTCTGGATTTTGCACTCTCCAGTTTTAGTAAATCAGCCCCCATGTGATCTAACCTGCCTAGGCTTTAGTTCATATGACCAAGGTTAGAGAAGTTTTTTTTTTTTTTACATTTATGACAAGCAAAATGCACTTAATATTGTAATTTTATTATTGCGCTCTCATTCATGTGAAAAAAAGAAATCTAATGACTGATCAACTATTTTTTTCTCTACCTCTAAAGATTTCAATTTGTTTGAAAACATCAAATTCTATTATTTCCAAAGAGCTGAGGGTCCCTAACATATCCCTCAAAATCACAGAACATAAATTGAACTCTAAACAGATATAAAAGACACAAATGAGTCCACTTCTTTCTCATCAATACATCCATAACACGTTTTATTGTACAATACAAGTAGTCTGAGTATCTGAATGTGACCTGGTATTAGCCTCTTCCAGGCCCTGTACAGCAGAACTGAAGAGTGAGAAGCAGTACAAAAAGCCAGTCTCTTCATGTGCTAACAAGAAGCATGTTGATTGGAGGAAAGAGCAGAGTAACAGAGAGATGAGCTCTTCACTGTGCAGCTTTTTCTTCACTGTCGAGTCACAGACTTGGGGTGGGACCAGGATGACCTGGGCTCAGAGGAAGTGGGTTGAACAAAGCTGGGCTATAAACACAAGGCATCTAGCTGCAGATAAAAAATTGTTGTATTGCGGGGTGGGGGATGGAGAATCCCTTAACTTAATGTGAATTTTGCAGCTAGGTTTTGTTATTTTATGGGCTCTTTGCATCTATTTTTTTGGCTGGAGTTCTTCCTTAATTATTACAAAAAATAATGAAATAGAGATTTACTGGTTATAGGATCTGTAAAAAAGAGTATTATTTATTATGTAATATTGTGTATGTCGCTGCTCCTCGGTAATCACACTTTTTTTTGGATCCCTCAGCCGTGCCCCGATGTCTACTGGTTCCCAATTTTCACAGATACAGCTTGTGATGAGCTGGTGGAGGAAATGGAATATTTCGGTCAGTGGTCAAGTGGAAGCAAGCAGGTAAGCGAGCTGCTGAATGCCATTGTTCTGAACAGATTTACAAATCCCATGGTGTATAAAATATATATATATATATATGTATTTATATATTATATGTACACCAATTGGCTGTAACTTTAGGTCCACTGAACTAACATTGAGTAGGTACCCAAACCACAGAGGTATGGACGCTACTAGACCTCTGGTTTGCTCCGGTACCAAGTTGTCAGTAGCAGATCCTTTAAGTCCTGTAAGTTGTGAGGTTGGGGCTCTATGGATCCAACTTGTTTTTCAAGCACATCCCACATGCTCAAAGGACTGAGATGTGAAGAATTTGGAGGCCTAGTCAACACCTCAAACTCGTTGTTGTGTTCCTCACACCATTCTTGTACCATTTTTGCAGTGTGGCAGGATACATAATCCTGCTGAAAGAGGCCACTGCCATGAGGGGACACAATTTCCATGAAGGGGTGTAGTTGTTTAGGTAGGTGGTATGTGTCAAAGTAATGTCCACATGATTGGCAGCACCCCAGCGTTTTCCTGCAGAACATTTCCCAAAGTATCACAATGCCTCCGCCAGCTTGCCTTCTTCTCTAGTGCCATGTCTTTCCCAGGTAAGCGACTCACCCAGCCATCAACATGATTTAAAACAAACTGTCATTCATCAGACAAGGCTACTTTCTTCTATTGCCTTGCCGTCCAGCTCACGTGGCCATTGTAGGTGCTTTTAGTTGTGGACATGAGTTAGCATGGGCACCCTGTGCAGCCCCATTCACAACAAATTGTAATGCCCAATTTTTTATGCTTTCAACACATCAACTTCAGGGACAACATATTTACTTGCTGACTAATATATCACATCACACCCACTTTCAGATGACATTGTAATGAGATAATCAATATTATTCAGTCAACATGTCAGTGATCATTAAGTTATGGCTGATCGGTGTGTGTGTATATCTCTATATGTGTATGTATATACTGGGACGCCAGTAAAGTTCATGTGCTTGTAAAGGCAGGCGCCCTAATACTATATACAATATAGTGTGTGTATATATGTATATATGTGTATATATATATATATGTGTGTGTGTATGTATGTATAGATATATACAGTCAGGTCCATAAATATTGGGACATCGACACAATTCTAAAATGTTTGGCTCTATACACCACCACAATAGATTTGAAATGAAACAAACAAGATGTGCTTTAACTGCAGACTGTCAGCTTTAATTTGAGTGTATTTACATCTAAATCAGGTGAACGGTGTAGGAATTACAACAGTTTGCATATGTGCCTCCCACTTGTTAAGGGACCAAAACTAATGGGACAGAATAATAATCATAAATCAAACTTTCACTTTTTAATACTTGGTTGCAAATCCTTTGCAGTCAATTACAGCCTGAAGTCTGGAACGCATAGACATCACCAGACGCTGGGTTTCATCCCTGATGATGCTCTACCAGGCCTCTACTGCAACTGTCTTCAGTTCCTGCTTGTTCTTGGGGCATTTTCCCTTCAGTTTTGTCTTCAGCAAGTGAAATGCATGCTCAATCGGATTCAGGTCAGGTGATTGACTTGGCCATTGCATAACATTCCACTTCTTTCCCTTAAAAAACTCTTTGGTTGCTTTTGCAGTATGCTTTGGGTCATTGTCCATCTGCACTGTGAAGCGTCCAATGAGTTCTGAAGTATTTGGCTGAATATGAGCAGATAATATTGCTGAAACACTTCAGAATTCATCCTGCTGCTTTTGTCAGCAGTCACATCATCAATAAATACAAGAGAACCAGTTCCATTGGCAGCCATACATGCCCACGCCATGACACTACCACCACCATGCTTCACTGATAAGGTGCTATGCTTAGGATCATGAGCAGTTCCTTTCCTTCTCCATACTCTTCTCTTCCCATCACTCTGGTACAAGTTGATCTTGGTCTCATCTGTCCATAGGATGTTGTTCCAGAACTGTGAAGGCTTTTTTAGATGTCGTTTGGCAAACTCTAACCTGGCCTTCCTGTTTTTGAGGCTCACCAATGGTTTACATCTTGTGGTGACCCCTCTGTATTCACTCTGGTGAAGTCTTCTCTTGACTGTTGACTTTGACACCCATACACCTACCTCCTGGAGAGTGTTCTTGATCTGGCCAACTGTTGTGAAGGGTGTTTTCTTCACCAGGGAAAGAATTCTTCGGTCATCCACCACAGTTGTTTTCCGTGGTCTTCCGGGTCTTTTGGTGTTGCTGAGCTCACCGGTGCGTTCCTTCTTTTTAAGAATGTTCCAAACAGTTGTTTTGAACACGCCTAATGTTTTTGCTATCTCTCTGATGGGTTTGTTTGTTTTTTCAGCCTAATGATAGCTTGCTTTACTGATAGTGACAGCACTTTGGATCTCATCTTGAGAGTTGACAGCAACAGATTCCAAATGCAAATAGCACACTTGAAATGAACTCTGGACCTTTTATCTGCTCATTGTAATTGGGATAATGAGGGAATAACACACACCTGGCCATGGAACAGCTGAGAAGCCAATTGTCCCATTACTTTTGGTCCCTTAACAAGTGGGAGGCACATATGTAGGCACATATGTAAACTGTTGTAATTCCTACACCGTTCACCTGATTTGGATGTAAATACCCTCAAATTAAAGCTGACAGTCTGCAGTTAAAGCACATCTTGTTCGTTTCATTTCAAATCCATTGTGGTGGTGTATAGAGCCAAAAATGTTAGAATTGTGTCGATGTCCCAATATTTATGGACCTGACTGTATATATGTATGTGTATATATAGATGTATGTGTGTGTATGTATATATGTATGTGTGTATGTATATATATATATATATATATATATATATATACCGTATTTGCCGGCGTATAAGACAACTTTTTTTCCCTGAAAAACATGCCTCCAAGTGGGGGGGGGGGTCGTCTTATACGCCGGGTGCACTTCAGTTGGGATAGACATAGCTGCCATAGTGGCCTTCCGATACTCGCCCGGTGCCCATAGAGGCCTCCCGATGCCCGCCCACCTCATTCTACATACCATCCAGTATCGCGCGGTATCCAGTGCGGCGGGTCATCAGCATGGCTGCGGCGAGCATCAGCAGCGATACAGGGGTGCTAGCCTTTTCGGCGTGACCGGCCCGTTTTGCTCGGCGGGAAGCAGCGGCGCTCCGGCCCGCCCCTTGTCTACGCAGAGCTCGCACATGCGGACTTGCGCACTAGTGCCAATTACAGGGAGATGCAGGGACATGGTAGTGACATGGAGACAGGGAGGGCAGACAGGGAGCAGGGACCAATCCAATCAGGCTTTGTATACAGCCAACAGCCAACCACAGTACTGCACCATTGTACAGTACAATACAGCATAGAAAATGTCCAGCAGTCAAACCCCTATCAACCCTATCATGGCACCAGCAAAAAGAAAGAGGGGGTAGTCTTATACGGCGAGTATATAACAAACTCTATATTTTGAGTGGAAATGTTGGGGGTCGTCTTATACGCCCAGTCGTCTTATACGCCGGCAAATACGGTATGTCTATATATATATATATATATATATATATATATATATATATATATATTTCACATACATACATACATACATACTAGTTCTGTAACACGCCAGCAGAAGTGGCAGCACAAAGCTGCATTCACAGTCACAGGGAGCACTGACCTTCATAAGTCAGTGTGCCAAAAGACATTGGCCTGTGTACATCGGGAGCTGTGCAACGCAGTACCACGTCTGCTATTTCATCATGGACAGCAAGTTAGAACAGAGGGCAAATGTGAAATTCAATGTGAAACTGGGCAAATCGCTGGATCTTGTCAAAACAGCGACCTTTGAGCTGGATCTTTATCTTGGGGAAGAGGATATTTTCAAGGGGTTGAGCTTGTTGAAGGTCTTCTTGATACCTCGGCGTCTTCCAGTGATGTTCTTCTGCTCTTGAAGCACATTTGCCACTCAAAACACTTCAGCTTTCTCTCTGCTGTCAGGGATGACAGTTCGGGCTAGAGAGCTTCTGGTTGAATCAAAAGCCCTCTAGCCTGAACTGTTATCCTTGTATGGAGAGGACCACCATTTACTGATGCCTGGTATAGAAGATGTTGCCTTTTAGTGCTAAAAAAAAATCTAAAATAAGCTGCACAGTGCCACCTATAGGCCAATGACATACCATACACTTTACAGCAATCATGCCAGTTAATGGGTAAAGTATTTGCATTAACGATCCCTCCTCTTGATGTATTGCAGGACCAGCGTCTGCAGGGAGGCTATGAAAATGTCCCAACGATCGACATTCACATGAACCAGATCAACTACGAGAAAGAATGGCACAAGTTTCTGCTGGACTTTATAGCGCCAGTGACTGAAAAGATGTTCCCTGGTTATTACACACGGGTGGGTATCTCTGACCTTTGCAGAATGTTAATCCTTATACTTGTCATTCATTATCCAGAAGCTCAGTTCAGTTTTCAGTTTAAAGTGGATAAATATAATCCAGGTATATGAAAACAGAAAGTGTATAAAATCTTACAGTTCATTTTCTATAAGACTGTCCCCTGACAGCGTGCTGCAGAAAAGGACCCTTCCCTGTATGAGGAAGCAGTGGTCTCTCTGCAAAGGTCTGCCATGTCCCCTGAGATTCAGAGCTTGAGTTCTCCCAACAGCAGGGAACATGAGATTTTCAGACTGCACATCTATGTTGCATGCTGGACCTCTGCAGAAAGACCACTGCTTCCACTCAGAGAACAAGGATCTTTTTCTGCACAATGCTGGCAGGAGATAGGCTTTTCTACTCTGCTCTAGAGAAGATGAACTGTAAGACCTTTCCTCTTGATGAACCTGGAGTTTATCTGATTTAAATCAAACATTCAGTTGGGTGTTGATGTCTTTAGCCATTAAATCTGATTTTCAGGTTTCAAATTGTAGAGCAGCCAGGTGACCCGATGTGCCCTTCCAGGTCTCTCTCAGCAGGCAGTGTTGGTGAATAGGCCTGCAGTGTCACAAATAATTAAACGAGAAACGAGCACTAGATCTATATTGATGGAGCAGCTAGCATGAAAGGGTAATAACCTCAAAACCTTCTGTGTGCAATATTTGTAAAATACCATGCAGCGCTCAGATGATAATGTTAAACATAAATAAATGAGAAAATGCAATACAAAATATATATGATCACTATGAATTAGAATAGTTCATTAATTCAAAGCTTTATAGATGAGTTGGTGATAAAGGGTGACAGTCTATATCTGATGAAAGACCGTAATCGTGACACTGGTGGTAAGTGTGAGAGTGGGTTGCACTAAGCGCATGAGTGATGAAATCATCTGGATATGGACATCTGGACCCAGGTTTTCTGATGAGCAGCGACAGGAATCACAGCATGTCAGCCAGGCTTCTGAATGACCGCATTCTGATCGAAGACCACCAGAGGGAGCCAGCAACCAGGATGTCATCAAACCTTCTTAAACCAGGTATCCAAAAATGTGTAGTATGCTCTAAAAACCAGTTTTTTGAGCATACTACACATTTTGTGTATCATGCTGTGATTCCTGTCGCTGCTCGTCAGAAAACCTGGGTCCAGATGTCCATATTCAGATGATTTCATCACTCATCTGCGCTTAGTGCAGCCCACTCTCACACTTACCACCAGTGTCACGATTACTGTCTTTCGTCAGATATAGGCCTGCAGTGTCACGGGTGTTTTGGACAGTTAACCTCCATTCACATCAAGCCCGACTTTGAAATCACCCGACTTACAGTGAAGTCGGGGGACCCGCCGATTTCAGGTGGGATTTGCAAGACATCTGTGCAAATCGCACCATAAATAGTGCATGTACTACTTTTGAAATTGGTGCAGCTCTGACCAAGTCGAAAAACCGCACCGACATGACCACTCCAATTGCGGACAATAGGATGAGATTTGGCATGCAATTTGAAAGTGGCAGGGCATGCGAATCGCATGCCAAGCTGTATCCAGTGTGAACCAGCGCTTATGCTTTAACCTCTTCACGTCGGCCGCACGCAAATGTACGGCCTCCTGGCATCTGGGCCTAGACGCCGAGCGGCCGCACATTTGCGTTCTATTAAAAAAGGACATATGTGCTGAGAGTGCACGCACTGCGCGCTCCCAGCACACATGTCCAGTACTCACAGGTCCCGATTTCCTCTTTCGATCGGGACCTTTCCTGATCATGTGACGGCGCGTCACGGTGGTCACATGACACTAAACCCTGCCCCGCCTCCCGGCTTCTGAAACTCTTAAGGGGTCCGGGAGGTGCCGGCGTGAAGGGGTTAATTAAGAACCAGCAAACACAAATGCTCCTGCGCTTGGGGATGGACTCGATGCAGGCTGCACCCACATTAAGAATGTCCTGGGAACATGCACACCGTGCTGCCCTCAATAGACCGGGGGAATCCAAATATACTGAATGAGGAAAGAACAAACAGAGGGCGCTCAGAACTAGTGCATTACCATAAAAAATGTTTAATAAGAAATAAAGTAAGTGTTGTAATCACAAACGACAATAAAGTCAAGGCATGTATTAAAAGAACAGCTGGGTCAACACCGCGCTGAGTAACAGTCCGCAATAGGGAGTGTAGACATCCAATAGGCTGACGCGTTTCGAGGACTTGCCTCTTCCTCAGAGTCAACTCAAAGCCGAACTGGCTCCGGGAAGAGGCAAGTCCACGAAACGCGTCGGCCAATTGGATGTCTACACTCCCTATTGCGGACTGTTACTCAGCGCGGTGTTGACCAAGCTGTTCACTTATGCTTTAATTATCTGTCTTTTCTTTTTCTGCAGGACTGCCTGTGCCGTATCTCACACTCTCTATGTGTTTATCCTTCCAGGCTCTGTTTGACTTGGCCTTTGTAGTCCGGTACAAACCAGACGAACAGCCCCTCCTGGAACCCCACCATGATGCCTCCACTTTTACAATCAACATCGCTCTAAACAGCGTGAGTCAGGACTATGAGGTCAGTCACCCCACAACCGTCCCATGCCTCTATTGTATTTGAAAGAAGAACTGTCTGTGTTGTCCCACAAATTGTCTTTTTTCATCTCTTGACTACAGTACGGTTATTGATCTGAATGGTAGTGATGGACCTTCAACACAGATGGCTTTTATTTCACATATTTTATTCACATATTATATATAATGTTTTAGTTTTGAATAGACTGTAAAAGAGTAACTACTTTTCTGGTTCTTCTTTTGCCTTCTGTGACCCTATTTTGGTGCATTATTATTATTATACAGGATTTATATAGCGCCAACAGTTTGCGCAGCGCTGTACAATATAAGGGAGACAGTACAATTACAATACATTTCAGTACAGAAGGAACAGGAGGGCCTGGCTCGTGAAGCTTACAATCTAAAGGAAGGGGGAGGTGATACAAAAGGTGATAGCTGCAGAGGATGATCAGGTGGAGGTGATTAAAGTACAGTTCTTAGGTGGAGGTGGGGTAGGCTTCCCTGAATAAATGAGTTTTCAAAGATCGCCTAAAGGCAGACAGGTGGAGGGTGACCAGACATACTGTGGTAGGGAGTTCCAGAGGATGGGAGAGGCTCTGGAGAAGTCCTGGAGGCGAGCGTGGGAGGAGGTGATGAGTATTTACTTCACTTCCTGTCTCTGTGACACCAGCACAAGACTGTGTGTAGTGCATCCCGTCCTTGCACAATTCCTGATTGTCAAAATGACACATAAACAATCAATTTACAGGTATTGGGACTTTTTTTTAACAAAGACATGGAGCAGAATATATTTTGGCCTAAATTTGTGACAAAATTTGATTATTTAAATTTTTTTTACAGGACATGTTTAATAGCAAAAAGTCCAAAATATGTTTTTTTCCCCAAAATTGTCAGTCTGTTTTGCTTATAGCGCAAAAAATAAAAAAAATGCACAGGCGGTCAAATACCAAAAAAAGAAAGCTCAATTTGTGGGAAAAAAAGGACGTAACTTTCATTTGGGTGCAGTGCCGCATGCCCGCGCAATTGTCGGTTAAAGTAACACAGCGCCGTAATGCAAAAAATGGCCTGGTCATGATGAGGGGGTAAATCCTCAGGAGGGCAAGTGGTTAATTAATTTGTAAAGACCTAATTTTAGTGTCATTTTAAAATGGACAAATGACATAATAAAATATATACTTTTATCTAAAATAACACAATTTTTATTTTAATGAACATTGATCAAAGTAGAAAAACTGCATTTTCTGTTAGTATGATACTGTTTTTGTCTATGAATTGAATATAAAATAAATTCATATTTGCAAGACAATATCCCCAAATATATGTAATAAATTAAATCTTTATTATATTGCTTTTTTATCTTCTATAATGACAAAGTTAATGCCAGCCACTGGCTCTACATGGTGGGAGTTTGCTGAGGGAGATATATATTGGGGATTGTTCAGTCTGTTTCCTCTCTCCCTCTTCTTATGTGGTGGATTACAAGGAGGAATAGGAGCCACTAGAGAGCTACTATAGATATGTGATTGGAGGCATTTCAGGAATGGGTTTGGGGTAGAATCCATAACTATTGAGGGTGTTATCTGGCCAGGAGGAAACTCTTCTTTTGTGGAATACCAGATATGAATTGGGAATACCTTATAGAAAGACTTAGGTGACGTATTTTTTACTGGACTGATTGTCTATGAGTTCCCTGGTTTGGACCAAGATAAATTTACTCTTGAATATTGCGCCCAATAATAACTGTTTTACGCCCACCCATATTTGATTTTCTGAGCCCCTCTGCTTACTATTGCCCAGCACCTAACTGAAATTCAGACTTTTTTGACCTCTGTCTCCAAGACTTATGGTCCTGAAGAAGCTGAGAATGCGAAATGCGTTGACCTCTTGAAGGACATAATAGCAGGGATAACTTTTAGAATGCTGTATTAGGGCCGTTTAGCCACTATATTGTTTTTAAAGCATGTAAAATGATTTTTATGTATGATTTAATAAAATGTGTAATGTCTGTCCTATACTGTACCAGAAAAGTCCCATCATTTTTTGTATGTCTATTTAGGGATGTGGTACATGCAGATAATTTTTTGGTGTTCTCTGTATGTCTATTTAGGGATGTGGTACATGCAGATCATTTTTTGGTGTCCTCTGTATGTCTATTTAGGGATGTGGTACATGAAGATCAATTTTTGGTGTCCTCTGTATATCTATTTAGGGATGTGGTACATGATCAATTTTTGGTGTCCTCTATTTAGGGATGTGGTACATGAAGATCATTTTTGGTGTCCTCTGTATATCTATTTAGGGATGTGGTACATGCAGATCATTTTTTGGTGTTCTCTGTATGTCTATTTAGGGATGTGGTACATGCAGATCATTTTTTGGTGTCCTCTGTATGTCTATATAGGGATGTGGTACATGCAGATCATTTTTGGTGTCCTCTGTATGTCTATTTAGGGATGTGGTACATGCAGATCATTTTTTGGTGTTCTCTGTATGTCTATTTAGGGATGTGGTACATGCAGATCATTTTTTGGTGTTCTCTGTATATCTATTTAGGGATGTGGTACATGCAGATCATTTTTTGGTGTTCTCTGTATGTCTATATAGGGATGTGGTACATGCAGATCATTTTTTGGCGTCTCTGTATGTCTATATAGGGATGTGGTACATGCAGATCATTTTTTGGTGTTCTCTGTATGTCTATATAGGGATGTGGTACATGCAGATCATTTTTTGGCGTTCTCTGTATGTCTATATAGGGATGTGGTACATGCAGTCTACCACTTTAATATATAAATGTAATGTCTACTAAACAGGCCTATAGCAGAAATGTAAAAATTGTTTGGGTCCATTAGCAGTATACAGGTGTGAAAGGGGAAGAGGGTACTGTATATAGCTCATTAATCCTGTATTCTACATTGCTCTGTAACGTTTGCACCTTTTCTAGTACTGGTAAGTGTGAGGGACTTTCCTTACTATTCTGTTTTGATGGCACTAACTGGTACAGTATTGAAAATTTGTGATGAAAGGTCCCCTTTAAACTCAACCATCCCGGTCTGCTTTTCTCTTGCAGGGAGGTGGCTGCAGGTTCCTCCGTTACAATTGTTCCGTCAGTGCCCCCAGGAAAGGCTGGGCATTGATGCACCCGGGAAGACTGACTCATTACCACGAAGGGCTTCGTGTCACGAAAGGCGTCCGATACATCGCAGTCTCCTTTGTGGACCCTTAGGTGGAAACTTTGATTGAACAAAACTTTTCTGAGAAGTTACAATGTAACTCTGATAAAGTGTTATGAGAAAGAGGGGTGGAGTCAGTTGACGATTTTCCAGAAGATCAATGACAGGGCGACTGCACAGATCTGAACAAGGTGGAGCCATCTGAATTCTTTTTTAAATCAGGCGGACTGATGAATTTACACAGGCTCCAGACCGAGCATAGTGAACAAACTGTGATCCCCTCCCCCATCCTTCCTTATTTTGTGTCCCTATGTAGAGGAAGTCCTGAATTTTCAGCTGATATACCAATGCTTCATTTTTATTGGGGTTGCTAACACTTAGTCCAGTATGGAACCCCCAAGAGCTGGTCACCCAAGGTTCAATCGTTCTTTATTTGTTTGACATTATGATTGTTTATCCCATGCTGTACTGCCACACATGTGCCTTGTTCCAGTTATTATTTTAGGTCACTTTAAAAAAAAAAATGCTTGTATAAAAAAAATAATTTATTGTCCTCAACACTATCAAAGAAAAATCATATGGTGCACAAACTGGCTGATCGCTATTGCATAACGATTCTTGGGAACACCAGCAGATCTATTTAAAAAAAGAACAAACAAAATAAAAACCTTTGTTGTGTGAATGTCATGGATATTTGTGCACGCTCAACTAATTTTGCCTGTATTTTCTCTAATATATTAATTTGTGTGATAATCGGCTTCATCTAGTGGTCTAAATTTTCTCATTGAGGTATTTCAGAATACTACTACTGCATTTTGGCCACTAGATGGTGTATATACCACATACACTGCCTTGAAAAAGTGTTCGTACCCCTTGACATTTTCCCCATGTTGTCATGTTACAACCAGAAACGTAAATGGATTTTATTGGGATTTTATGTGATAGACCAACACAAAGTGGCACATAATTGTGAAGTGGAAGGAAAATGATAAATGGTTTTCAAACTTTTTTACAAATAAATATCTGAAAAGTGTGGCATGCATTTGTATTCAGCCCCCTTTACTCTGATACCCCTAACTAAAATCTAGTGGAACCAATTGCTTTCAGAAGTCACCTAATTAGTAAATAGAGTCCACCTGTTTGTAATGTAATCTCAGTATAAATACAGCTGTTCTGTGAAGCACTCAGGGGTTTGTTAGAGAACATTAGTGACCAAACAGCATCATCCAAGTCCAAGGAACAGACAGGTCAGGATTAAAGTTGTTGAGAAGTTTAAAGCAGGGTTAGGTTACAAAAAAATATCCCATGCTTTGAACATCTCATGGAGCACTGCTCAATCCATCATCTGAAAATGGAAAGAGAATGGCACAACTACAAACCTACCAAGACATGGCCGTCCACCTAAAACTGACAGGTCAGGCAAGGAGAGCATCAATCAGAGAAGCAGCCAAGAGGCCCATATAGTAACTCTGGAGGAGCTGCAGAGATCCACAGCTCAGGTGGGAGAATCTGTCCACAGTTACAACTATTAGTCGTGCACTCCACAAATCTGCCTTTATGGAAGAGTGGCAAGAAGAAAGCTATTGTAGAAAGAAAGCCATAAGAAGTCCTGTTTGCAGTCTGCGAGAAGCCACGTGGGGGACACAGCAAACATGTGGAAGAAGGTGCTCTGGTCAGATGAGACCAAAATTGAACTTTCTGGCCTAAAAGCAAAACGCTATGTGTGGCAGAAAACTAACACAGCCCATCACCCTGAACACACCATCCCCACTGTGAAACGTGGTGGCAGCATCATGTTGTGGAGATGCTTTTCTTCAGCAGGGACAGGGAAGATTGTCAGAGTTGATGGGAAGATGGATGGAGCCAAATACAAGGCAATGTTAGAAGAAAACCTGTTAGAGTCTGCAAAAGACTTGAGACTGGGGCGGAGGTTCACCTTCCAGCAGGACGACAACCCGAAACATCCAGCCAGAGCTACAATGGAATGGTTTAGATCAAAGCATATTCATGTGTTAGAATGGCCCAGTCACAGTCCAGACCTAAATCCAATGGAGAATCTGTTACAAGACTTGAAAATTGCTGTTCACAGACGCTCTCCATCCAACCTGACAGAGCTTGAGCGATTCTGCAGAGAAGAATGGGCAGAAATGTCCCTCTCTAGATGTGCAAAGCTGGTAGAGACATCTCCAAAAAGACTTGCAGCTGGAATTTCAGCGAAAGGGGGTCCTACAAAGTATTGACTCCGGGGGGCTGAATACAAATGCACGCCACACTTTTCACAGATTTATTTGTAAAACATTTTGAAAACCATTTATCATTTTCCTTCCACTTCACAATTATGTGCCACTTTGTGTTGGTTTATCACATAAACTCCCAATAAAATATATTTCCATTTTTGGTTGTAGCATGACAAGATGTGGAACATTTCAAGGGGAAGGAAGACTTTTTCAAGGCACTGTATAACAGATTAAAGTGTTACCAAACCCAGGACCCTACATTCATTATATCTGGTCTCCCACAGAACATGGAAATGCAAATATAAACTGCTAAATACATTTTTTTCATCAGCAGTTAAAGCAGTCTTGTGCAATCACAAGTGAAAAACACTAGCAATACACACTAAACTGAGCATGTGCAGAGCGACTCCACACGATATGTCCTATCAGGAGATAAGAGGGGGACACTGGAAGAAGGGGAGGATCAGAGAAGACAGGATAAAACATCCTTTTTACACAATGTAGATTAACCCCTTAGGTTCCACAGTGAGCATAACAAGCGTGCTTTACTGCATATACAGACTGATTTTACTGCTGTGGGTTTAGTAACACTTTAACCTCCACGCCTACAGTATAGGAGTTAATCTATTACAGAAATTACAGCCAAAATTCTTTGAGCATGCACAAATGTATGTGACATTCATCCAACGAATGTTTTATAAATAGACTCCCATGAGACAAAACAATTAATATCCTGTTTCATTCAGAGATTCCAATTACATCTAAGCAAAAACATGGAAGATCAGCTTTAAAAAAATATTTCAAATGGACATCTTGATTGTATTGTATAAATGGTAGCAGTTTCAGTGGACACTGACCACACTGTTGTGAGCGTCAACCCCGGTGATATCAGAGGTCATCCCTCTTGCACTTGCCATCCAGGATGCAATGATCCAGATGCTGGAAATGATGACGTGATGTCAGGGGATGGGGGGGGGGGAGGACTTTCTGCAGGGACCCTATGCGTTGAAATTGGGGATCTTAGCATCTTTGGTCCTGTGTGCCTGCTCTAACCTCCTCTGCTGCAACGTATCGCAGACTCAATCAAATGACATCAAAGAAATAATGACTGAACTTTTCTTTAAAGTCAAACTCTAGCTATGATTTTTACTGCACAGGTACATTGGTCCAGCTTGGAACAATATATATTACACAAAGTATAGTATACTGATAGCCGAGATTTTCTGGGCTCTGCCAAGCGGCTTCCCCTCTGCACACTGATCGCAGGGGGTGCTTGATCAGTACTGCCACCATTCACAAAAGGTCTTGTATTTTTTCAGTGAAAACAAGGCATTCTGCGTTTGGAAAAGGTGGGATGTGACATCACAATCTCCACCTTGTCCAATCAGAGAATGTTCATAAAAAAAGGGTTCTGTTAATGGCTCACATGAGCGAAGCAACCCCCTGTGGGGCGCTGATTGGAGCAGGACCAGAAAATCATGGCTATTACTGTAGTAGTGCTGACTTCTACAGTGCTTGTCAGCCTCTGCAGCGCCCCCCTCAGGTATTAGATATGCATACTTATATCATGCCAAGCTGGACCAATGTAACTATCCAATAGAGAGCATGGCGTTTCATGTCAACTTTCCTAAGACTTTTCAATCCTGTTCTCTGTGTGTGTTACGTTTTGCTAAGCTCTTATTTATGATATGCCATGATGCTATCTAAGATTAATTTTAAAAAAATTACTAAAGTCCCATTTTATCAGGAAATGATCCTAATCAATAATACAGACATTTACATAATAATCCTAGAACACAAGTAATGGCTTTAGTCAAAAGTCAGCAAATGAACAATACACCAAAGTTTTTACATTTCTTTTGAATGGTGCCTCCTAGTGGGCAATCTGCAGTACTGAGACTTAAAGGACACGTCCCTCTGGAGGTAGTGCCTTCTTAGTATTGTGCCTTTTTCTCTGCCTTGTTGTGAAATGTGACACTCAGCATCTGCTGTGTTTGTGGTATTTTGTATATTTTGATAGAAGCAGTGTGTTCACAAGCCGCATCCGGGATAATATCTCATCCCTCTGGATCTCATTGAGAGTATAAATATTTACTGTACTGTACAGTTTGATAGGATTTGTACATTAAAATAAAGTTTTGTGCTTGTCGTGTCTTCATTCTGCTTGTGTCATTCAGTTCCACGTGAAGTACTTTGAACAGCATTGTACACACTCTGAGTACCTGTCACCCAAACACAACTGGGGTCACCTAAACATATCTTGGCTGATAGTACACGGGTCTGTAAATCAGAACAATGAACTTCTATTATTTGTTCCCTTTTAGTGGTAAATATACCAATGAAAGTATTTTGTTCTATCTGTTCGACAAATTCAAAAACACACCTATTGATCCTGCCAGATAACAATTGAGCTGATAACTTCCTGTATACTCGGCTGCAATGAAACCCAAGAGAAGAGTAGAAGCGCCTCTAAGTGCAGTATAGGTAACTTTAATGGATAACAAATGTAGAACAACTCACATGTTTCATGATAAAAGCAAGGTCAAAAAGATGGGAGGACGGATGTGTCTGTGCTGTGTCAGCCGCCTGTGCACTTGGAAGACCGTGGATGCAGGAAAGAGCCGGCCGGCATGTGTAGTCTTCTAAAATGGCAATGTCGGCAGCAACGTGATGACCTCAGCGTCCGCGTGATGATGTGTGTGGACCAGCATGCATAGCGACGTGTTTCGGAGCATGCGCTAGACCTCTGAGGGCAGAAACGCGCTCCCTTGTCAAGCTTAGCATAGCTTGAAAAGGGAGCGCGTTTCCGCCCTTAGAGGTCTAGCGCATGCTCCGAAACACTGTCGCTATGCACGCTGGTCCACACACGTCATCACGTTGCTGCCGACATCGCCATTTTAGAAGACTACACATGCTGGCTGGCTTTTACCTACATTCACAGTCTTCCGAGTGCAGACGCGGTTGACACAGCACGGACACAGACGTCCTATCTTTTTGAGCTTGCTTCTATCATGAAATGTGAGTTGTTCTACATTTGTTATCCAATAAAGTTACCTATACTGCACTTAGAAGCGCTTCTTCTCTTCTCTATTCTATACAGAGTTTTGCTACTACTTACATGAGGCTGGCCCTAGTGCTATATGGACTTTTGTAGCCCTACATTGGACTTTTGGACTCTTTTACAATTCTTAATAGCTGGGTGGTAGCATTTTGTGCTGATTGTTCACAAATTGAGTTTCTTGCATGTTATCAGCCCTTCCCAGACTTTCTTTGTGAGTTAGAGTACATCTACCCCATGTTATGGAGATTGTCACACAATGCCTGGAACTGTCTTACTGGCAGGATCACCAGGGGAAGTCTAAAATGTAAAGCCTGGACTGACACTGTTGGCTCTTAGGTCAGCCCTTACTATAGTGCTACCATTAATTCTTACCTTAGCCATATTCCTAATCCTCAGCCTAGCCCTACCCTTAACTCTTATCTTAGCCTTCTAAGCAACTGAAGAAATGTAAAAAAAAAAGTTAAAACAAGTAAATATCAAGGGTCTTCAAAAAGTTTCCTCAATTTTATACATACACTATATTGCCAAAAGCTTTGGGCCCCCTGCCTTTACACACACACAAATTTTAATAGCATCCCAGTCTTAGTCCGTAGGGTTCAGTACTGAGTTGGCCCCGCCCTTTGCAGCTATAACAGCTTCAACTCTTCTGGGAAGGCCGTCCACAAGGTTTAAGAGGGTGTCTATGGGAAGGTTGGACCATTCTTCCAGAAGCACATTTGTCAGGTCAGGCACTGATGTCGGGGGGGAGGAGGCCTGGCTCGCAGTCTGCCCTCTAATTCATCCCAAAGGTGTTCTATGGGGTTGAGGTCAGGACTCTGTGCAGGCCAGTCAAGATCCTCCTCCCCAAACTCGCTCCTCCATGTCTTTATGGACCTTGCTTTGTGCACTGGTGTGCAGTCATGTTGGAACAGGAAGGGGCCATCCCCAAACTGTTCCCACAACTTTGGGAGCATGAAATTGTCCAAAATGTCTTGGTATGCTGACGCCTTAAGAGTTCCCTTCACTGGAACTAAGGGGTCAAGCCCAACCCCTGAAAAACAACCCCACATTATAATCCCCCCTCCCCAAACTAAAACTAATTAGTGAGGATGAAAAGTTTATTTCTGCTTTAACTCTCCACCTAGCTGTATTCTTACCTCTTACCTTAGCCCTACCCTTAATCCCCAGTCTAGCCCTGTCGTTATATTTTACCTTGGTCCTAAAGTTAGCCATCCACCTAGTGCTACCCTTAACACCTACACAGGGGCGGACTGACAACTCATGGGGCCCCTGGGCAATAGGGGATCATAGGGCCCCTGTGTCCTTGCCCAAACTCAAAAAAGCCTATGAAAAAGGTACCAGGGGCATCTCATGGGGCCCCCTACTGACCCTGGGCTCTCAGGCAGTGCCCGAGTTTCCAAATGGTCAGTCCGCCCCTGCACCTACATTAGCCCTACCCTTAGAGGATAAATTCACCTTTGGAATATGTAACACCCATATTTAGAGTGTAAAATGTAATCTGTACTTTTTCCTTCAAGGTGAACTCATCATCTACATAAGTCTTACCTTAGCCCTAACCCCTAACCATAAAGTGATTGTAATTTCTCATCTTGTAAAACAACTCATTCAGTTTAAAAAAAACATCACATATACTTTATTATCAGGATTTTAGTACTCAATGTGACCCGTTTCAGAAATTCTCACACTTCCTGTCCCTGTGAAACTGTGTTCCAAAAATGGGGTTGTCACCAGGACAGGACTGCATGGACAGCAATAATAACATTGCCAGACATTCCAACCCTTCTTTGTTTTTTTAAAGGATAAGTTCACCTTTAGTAACATATGGCATGTTACACCCATATGTTACTAGCTGAGTAACCCCCAAGTTTCGTTGTGAAAGTGGGCCAGGGATCTTCTCCCCATATCCACTGTCACAATTAAAAAAAAAAAAAGACAAAAAAAAAGCTGCAGTGCAGAGCTCCATCCACCTGGCAGTGTCATTCATTCACAGAGTTCTGAGTGGGAGAACTACAACTATCATCAGCCACTTCTGAATGAATTCCTAGGGCACTGATGAGCGCTCTAGGGTGTTCATTGATCCTTCCTGTCATTTAGTAACTGCCTGTCCATACGAGGTATGGGCAGACAGCTACAATCTGCTGATTGCGGGTGCAATTCTTTACAGGCTCAAAATAAAAAATATAATAAATGCACATTTTTTTTAACCTACAAAAAGATGTGCATTTTTTTTTTTAAATGTAAACCTATTTTTTTTTTTTAATCTTTTTACATTTTTCTTGCCAATGTTGGAGAGACCAGTTGTCTTTAAATAAAGGCTTGTACCTTTCTCCAAAGAAAAAAAATAAAAAGTTTCAGGAAATGACAACATTTACTATATATTTTATTTATTTTGTAAATTTGGTTCTCCATTATGAGATGAGATCTCTGGCCTTTTGTTTTTCAGGCTTCTTTTACTTTGCGCGCAAGGACAAAACCTAAATGCTTGTAGTTAACACAATCACTGGGTTCCACAGCATTAATCAGAGATGACTTTTCAATGATGAAGCCGGCTTTTATCACCAGCTCTTGTACTTCTAGCTCTTCCAAGCTGAGGCAGAAGTAGCGATGGTGGCCCACCATGTAGAAGGTCATCTTCAGCGGCACAAACATCATCAGGCGGCCTCCAATTTTCAGTCTGGATGTGAATCTCTCCAGGTTCCTCTGGAAGTCATCCTTTGTTTTACTGATCATGGTTAATAACCATAGACTAACGACACAATCTACCTGTGGCACCACCGCAGGATCTAGGCCATGGGTTTCATGGTTGTCCCACTTATAAACTCCTTTAATGGCTTTTCTTGCCTGGTCTTCCATCTCCTTCCACCCTTGTCTGGAACAAGATATCATGTCTGATGATAGGAGTAAGAATCATTTCTACTATAACTGCTGGTTCTACTACTAATAGAGATACTACTACAGATATATTAACGTTTGTTACTATTATGATTACCTCTACTACTATTAGTAATGATCCTACTACTTGTGCTGGCAACACTGCTAACAATACTATACTACTACACCTTTACCAGTTTTATATGGATATTGAACTGTAGTCACTACTAGTATTAAGGTGATTGTAGAATTGCTCCTCCGATTGCTACCACACACCTACAGGTAATATTTATTATAAGCTCACCTGTAGGCACAAGTGTCCAATGGGAGTTTACTTCCACTTTAAGATAGCAGCATAATACATATAGGGGTTTATTTACTAAAGCTGGAGAGTCCAAAATCAGACTCCCTTCTGCATAGAAACCAATCAGCTTCCAGGTTTCATTGCCAAAGCTTCATTGAACAAGCTGAGGTTAGAAGCTGATTGGTTTCTATGCAGAAGGGAGTCTGATTTTGGACTCTCCAGCTTTAGTAAATAAACCCCATATTGTCTTGCAACAATGATTTTTTTTTTTGCAATCCTTAACCACTTCATGTCCGGACACTTTCACCCCCTTCCTGTCCAGGCCAATGTTCAGCTTTCTTCGCTCTCACATTGTGAATAACAATTACTCAAGCAAACGACACTGTAACCAAATGAAATTATTATAATTTTTTTCAAACAAATAGAGCTTTCATTTGGCGGTATTTAATCACCACTAGGGTTTTTATTTTTTTTGCTAGAAAAATTAAAAAAGACTGCAAATTTTGAAAAAAAAAACATGTTTTTCTTAGTTTTTGTTACAAAATTTTGCAATTAAATATACTTTCTTCATAAATTTAGGCCAAAATCCATTGTGCTACATTTTTTTGGTAGAAATAACCCAAATCAGTGTGTATTATTTAGTCTTCCTGAAAGTTATACAGTCAACAGACCACGGTATATACTGTTTATTTGAAAATGTAGCATTCCTGATGTACTGACTACCTATAAAAATTCTTGGGGACCTAAAATGCCAGGACAGTACAAATACCCCCCAAATGACCCTTTTGGAAAGTAGACAGTCTGAGGTATGAGAGGCATGGGGAGTTTTTTAAGTTGTCATTTTTTGAGGGAAATGATGAAAGTAAACAATTTTATTAAGTTGTCATTTAACAAGTTCTTGCTCTCACACGGCATAGGCATACTTGCAATTACACCCCAAAACACATTCTGCTACTCTTTCTGAGTATGGCGATACCACATGTGTGAAACCTTTTCACAGCCTAGCCACATAGTAGGACCCCACATCCAATAAGCACCCTTAGGCGTTCTAGGGGCAAAAATTGCACATCTAATTTCTTGACTATCAGTTTTGGCGGTCCTGGAGCACCAGGACAATTGAATTACCCATAAAATGACCCCATTTTGTAAAGCACACACCCCAAGGTATGTTTTAAGAGGTATGGGGAGTCCTCTGAAGACTTCATTTTTTGCCACACGTTTTTGGAAAATGTGAAAAGAAAATGAAAATGTATTTTTTTTTACGCAAAGTTGTCAATCTATGACATATTTCTATTACGCAGCATAGGCATACTTAAAATTACACCTCAAAATGCATTCTTTAACTCCTGCTGAATATGGCGATACCACATGTGTGAGACTTTTTCACAGTCTGGCTACATAGAGGGGCTTCACATCCAATAAGCACCTTTTGGAGTTCTAGGGGCAAAAATTACACATCTAATTTCTTGATTACCTATTGCCGTTTTGGAGGTCCTGAAGCATCAGGACAATGGAATTATTCACAAAATGACCCAATTTTGGAAAGCAAACACCCCAAGGTATGTTTTAAGAGGCATGGGGAGTCCCCTGAAGACTTAATTTTTTGCCACAAGTTTTAGAAAATGTGAAAAGAAAATGAAAATGTATTTTTTTATGCAAAGTTTTCAATCTATGAGATATTTCTATTACACAACATAGGCATACTTAAAATGACACCTCAAAATGCATTCTTTAACTCCTGCTGAATATGGTGATACCAAATGTGTGAGACTTTTTCACAGTCTGGCCACATAGAGGGGCTCCACATCCAATAAGCACCTGTTAGCGTTCTAAGGGCAAAAATTACACATCTAATTTCTTCGGCCACTTGTATGGTGACCCCCCCCCCCGCCCCCTAGTAAAACACTCCCCTCACACAGATAACTCTTTCACTGAATAATAAAGTTAACCCCTTCCTCCCCAGTGCCATTAGTACAGTGTTTTTTTTTTTTTGCACTGATCACTGTATTGGTGTCACTGGGGATGTCAGTGACCTCAAGTCAGTACCCCCCAGTGTCAGAATGTCCGCCGCAGTCCCGCCATAAGTTGCTGATCGCCACCATTATTAGTATAAAAAAAAAACTAAAAATCCCAGTATCTTTCCCGCCATTTGTAAACGCTATAACTTTCACGTAAACCAATTAATTTACACATATTGGGTTTTTTTTTTTTAGCAAAGACATGTCGCAGAATGCATTTTGGCAGAAATTTATGACTAAATTTGATTTTTACATTTTTTTTTACTGGACATGTTTTATAGCAGAAAGTCCAAAATATTGTTTTTTTTTCCCTCAAAATTGTCAGCCTTTTTTTTTATAGCGCAAAAATAAAAACCACACAGGCGATCAAATACCACCGAAAGAAAGCTCAATTTGTGGAAAAAAAGGATGTAAATGTCATTTATGTACCGTATTGCATGACCGCGCAATTGTCCGTTAAACTAGCACAGCGCTGTATAGCAAAAAAATGGCGTAAATTGCAGTATCTATACCATAGTTTGCAGACGCTATAACTTTCACACAAAGCAATCAATATACACTTATTGGGATTTTTTTTACCAAAAACATGGAGCAGAATACATTTTGGCCTAAATTTATTACTAACTTTGAGTTTGCTATATATTTTTTATAGCTGAAAGTAAAAAATATTGTGTTTCTTCAAAATTTTTGGTATTTTTTTGTTTATAGCGTGAAAAATAAAAAGCGCACAGGTGACCAAATACCACCAAAATAAAGCTCTATTTGTGTGAAAAAAAGGACACAAATTTCGTTTGGGTGCAGCATTGCATGACCGCGCAATTATCAGTTGAATTAGTGCAGCACCGAGTAGCAAAAAGAGGCCTGGTCATTAAGGGGGTAAATCCTCAAGAGGGCAAGTGGTTAACATACACACCCCTGGCTTCTCACAGCATTACAGGGATGACTCCGACACCACCACTGGCCTCTAGCTGTATTACAGGGATGACTCAGGATACCTCTCCACCATAAACAGAGCCAACAGAAATAATATAATCCACCTTGAGGAAAATAGCTCGAACAAACGAGCCACAACAGGAGCCCTATGGCGTGTAGTAATTTATTATTGCATATAGTAAAAAACATTCACGTGGGTGAAGGGAAATGTATGTCTTTTAGGTCTGTCATTTTGTTTTCCCCATTCTATATTTTCTACTAACATGTTGATTAATTGTTTTGTATTATACCCAGAATGAGTTAATGAAAATATGCTGTCAGTTATGTGTTCCAGAACTGTACTCTCAATATTCTATTTCTTATCTTAGCCTTGGTAGAGATGGAGATAGTTCTTTGTACTAACAGCACCTGTTTCTGTTATGATATAATTAAAAGTCAAATACTTCTGTCCCATGGGAAAATAATTGTTGGATACTTGTAACTGATTTCAAGGCCTGAGAAAGTCATGTTTATAGCCTTGACAAGTATCTAGCGAGATTCTATTGTATGTAGTAGATAAGTGTTTTAAAACAATTTAGAAACTTTTATTCCTGGGAAAGTGAAATTCCGCTTCTCATCACTTTTCAGAATTGACGTCAATGTTGTCTTTTTGTATTCAGCCAATCAATTATTGACAACTCAGCTTTTTGATACTCTGTGCCCCCACCTTTCTTTTTTCTGTTATATTAATTTTCTTCCCGCTAATAAACTTGAGAGATTGATTTCAACTATCACTGTGTGTATGTGTATGTCTGTTGTCTTTTCTGAGATGAAGTCAATCTCCCCGACGCGTCGTACGTACCCTCAGCAGCCTGATAAAGACTGATAGCCAGGGGCTATGGACAACCTTTCAATTGGAGGTCCCACCGAGATCGGGAGTTCAACCCGTTTGCGGTCACCCGGTAAGATAAACAAAATCTGTCTGTCTGTCCGGCTGTCCGTGGGCTCTGACTAAACTCTCGATCTCTGAACTGTGACAGGAGTATTCTGGGAATACTTCATTGAGTCTCCGGGAGACTCAGATAAGGAAAGGTGATTTATGTAGACGGGGTCTACATTTTAAATGCCTAGACAGGGTCTAGGTTAATTACAGAGTCTTAACTAGTCTGTTGAGGGTAACCAACTTTCTTTTCTTTGCTTCTATTATCAAATGCATAGAGTATAAGATAATTTGTTTATGCAAATAAGTGAACCCGGTTGGTAAGTGAACGGGTCAAAGTAATTGAAATAGAGTCAATATTTAAGTTCTTATTGTCTATCTTTTGTTGAGAGTGTTAAAGTGGTTATGTGTCACTAGACCGTAGTTCCGTACTGTCAGCTCCGTACTGTCAGAATATATCCTTCCTTCTCCAAAGAGGACGTGAATTTTTTCCTTGCAGCCATTGCAGCACAGCAGCAAATCCAACCCACAGCCCCATCCCCTGTCCCAGTCCAGGACATGGTGGAAGACCAACCTGAACCCCCACCCAAGGAATTCCTGATTCCACACAGGATGAGGGAACTTTTTTTTTGCTGAAGGATTAAAAGAGATATCAGGGTCCCTATTAGTAGACTTGGCAAATAAAGCAGGAATAGATAAAATTTTCAGTCCCGGACAGGCAGGTAGAACCAGATACAAGGTGGCGATATAAACCAAGGAATATCAATTTCTCACTGTAGGAGACACGTTAATTAATTAAATGTTTAGAAATAGAGGACATTGACTG